AGCTTTGAGGTAAATTCAAACAAAAGCCTGGAAAGCAATTCCCTTACCCTGCATTTGGTCATCCCCCTCCTTTCTGCCTCAACCTCACACCTTTCCTTCAGAGAGGCAGTCTGAGTTGAGAAAAGAACACTAACTTTTGAGTTTGGACAGTTATCTCTCTTGGTCTCAGTTTTTTCTTTGGTGATGGGGATAATAACTACCCCATAGAGATGTGGCTGTGAGAACTGGGTGGAAAACATAGGGGAAGCATCCAATCCACAGGGGACTGGTTACTTCATCTTCCCTCCTCTCTGGGTTGCAACGAAGAGGCTGGGGAAAGAACGGTGCCAGGAACAGAAAAGCCCTTCCCTCACTCTCAAGCCGGGAGGATCGTGCCAGCACCTGTATGGTAGCTACCCTGGCTTCTCCCTCCCTCTGATCCACCTCCAACACTTTCTGCCCGCCCCACCCCCTAACTTGTCCTTCTGAGGATCCCAAAGGAGGTAAGGCTGGAAAAATCCAGGGAAGGAATGTGAAGCTTGCCAGAGTTAAGCCCTTTTAAGAACAACTGGAGGTGACCTGGTCTCCCTTCCCCCACTCCCCTGGAGCTTGTAAACAGCCCTCAACCACCCTAGCTCTGCAGCCGATCCTTCAGCCCTGAGTATGTCCGAGGAGGCAGTGACTGGCTTTACAACACAAAAGTCAGGTTGGAGTGAGCCCCAGAAAGGTGGGCTGTGGAGAGAGGTTTGGGCGTGGGAAAGTAGCTCAGAACCGAAGTCACCACTTCTTTTTGGTCTAAGAGTTCAGTTTATCAGCACTGGAGAAAAAAACAAAAGGACTCGGTCTTGTGGGAAGGCTTTGTGAGGCCCGGAGCAGGCACAGCTGTGGGGTAAGTCCAATCTTGTCCCTGCAGTTTGGGAGGTATAGGTGCCAAACCAAATTGGGAAAATCATAAAACTCCTAAAAGGCTTTCCAGAACAGTACATACAAACTGGGAAGCATTAAAAGGAAGGTTCCCTAAAGCCAGGTCCATAGATTTCGATTCAGATACTCTAGTAGGGTCTACATTTCATTTTTAATAAACTCTCCCAGGCGATTCAGAGCTGGAGGTCTGAGGCCCACAGTTTAAGGAAATGCTCCTGAAACTACATACACATCCTCACGGCTGGAAGTTCTTTCTTTGGTCTAACCAGACTCTCTGCTGCTGTGAAACTTGTTTCGTCTGATCCTGATTGCTTCTCTGCAGACTAAATTCTCATCAGCGTTTGGCTTGGCCCCTCACAAGCACTGGGGCAACGGTTACCATGGTAACCTAGATGGGGTGTAGGGGAAAAACCGTGACCCTGGGCCTGGCTCCTGGAGTGGCTGCCAGCAAGTCAGACCCCCTGGGCCAATGCTAGGACCTTGACGGTTTGGGTCCTGACCCAAGGGTTCAGCCAAAGCTAAGTGAAGAGCGGGGCGCGCCAGGGCGGGACAGTCTTTCAGAGCCAAAGCTCCCGCTCGAGCGCCGGCGGGAACGGTCAGAGGGTGGGGTTCGTGTTCCTAAAGCCACAGCGCGCCGCGTCTACCAGCCGGAGCGGATCAGAGCGGAGGGGCGGGGCCGGGGCCGGGAGGGGGCGGGGCCCGGGCCGGAGAACGCGGGCTCTTGGTTACTACGGTAACGCGTCAACATCTAGCGTCGGTGGTGCAGTAGGTGGCGGAGGCGGTGGAGGCGCGGAGTTAGAGAGTGCGGCTGAGATGGTGAGGTCCCGGGTGAGGAGGAGAACCTCGGATGGGGGCCTCATGTGTCCTCAATTGGGTTGGGGTTCTAATCTGGGAAAGTGGGCATCTGGGAGACTGACAGAAGTTGGGTCTGGGGTCGGGAAGGCCCAGGAGCGGGGATGGCACCCCTGGAAGAGGCAAGGGAAGTCCTGAGGAGGGTCCAAAAGAGAAATTAGGGGTGGGGTCGATAGCGATTGGAAATGTGATCTGGTGCTGAGCAGAAGAGGTGGGGAGAAGGGCTGTCCCAACCTTCTTCCCCCTCCCATCGGTCTGGGGCCTCCATGGGCTGGGGATTGTGGGATGTGATGTGGGAAAACCATTGGTGAGGAGGCCAGATAACAGGTACGCGTTCTCCCTCTGACCAGCAGGGTGACAATGTGTAAGTCACCTAATGTCCTGAGCCTACAAGTCCTTGTCTTGTTACTGGGGCTCTGGGTCACTCATAGGTATTCAACAAACATTTGCAAATGAATGAATGAATGCAGAGGGTACCAGATTTGAAAGTCCCTGGAGAGGGATTGGGACTGTCTAGCAGGCCTGCGGTTCCCCAGGATGGAGAGGACAAGGGTCATGAGGGTTGAAAGGGCAGCAGGCCTGGGAGGAGGTATGAAGGTGATGTCTGGGATCCCATGAGGAGGGTGTGGTCCCTGAGGAATAAGTGAGAGGGGCAGAGGATAGGTGTTGGAGCCTTGGGTTACTGGAAATAACCTTAGAATTTCTGGGTGCACACCCAGTGGCAAAGGAGTCTCTGATGTACCTGTGGACACACTTCATGTTCAGAGGTCACACTGCTTTTCTGGGACTCAGTGGTTCAAATTCAGGGTCCCCAAGTCAGGATTTCAAGAAGAGCCTTGTTAATTATAAAAGAAACAAATCTCCCACAAAGAGCATTTATGCATTTTACGATGCATATTTATCTCCAGCTTTCCTGGGTGATTTACAGGCCCAGTGCTGTGTGCGTGTCTCTGAGGGCCTAGTGTCACACTTGGCATCTAAGGGCACACAGTAAATGTTAGTTCTCTTTTTCTCCTGTTTCAAAAATGTCATATTTCCAAGTCCAAATTCATCAGTGAGTTGCACCTGGGCTAGACTTGTGGGCTTTGGCTCATGCAAATCAGGGACTCCCCACCCAAGGTCCACTCAAGGAGGGGTTTTGGTCTGTTGACTGAGCCCTTCTGAAGTCCCTTGGACAGGACTGGGCATATGAGCACCTTTGAGAAGCAATGGGTCAAGTTAATGATCTCTGCCCTTCTGTGAGACCAAGAGTGTGTGTGTGTGTGTGTGTGTGTGGGTGTGGGTGTGGGTGTGTATGGGTGTGTGTGTGTATGGGTGTGTGTGTATGGGTGTGTGTGTGTATGGGTGTGTGTGTGTGTGTGTGTGTGTGTGTGTGTGTGTGTATGGTGCTACTTACTAGCTTTTGAGAGTGTTTGGAGGAGTGGGGAGAGGTGATAGTTGCGGGGAGGGTCACAATGAGGCAGACCTCCAGGATTCTTACAAAAACAATGAATAACATCCCCCAGAAGGAGGGACAGGGCCTCAGTACTGAGTAGCATGTCATCTTCAAATGGTACTCCACAGATGGCCAACCCAGTCTTATTTGAGGAAAGAGGTGACCTGAATGTATCACTCAGTGGAAGGTAAGGTACCTGGTTCATGGGCATCCCCACCTTCTTAGTAACCAAAGTCTACAGAAAGCAGGAAGAATCAGGCTAAGAGCTCAAAGCCTGAATTTGCCAGCCTGCGGTGAACCTATATGCAAAAGAGACGCTAGGTCCCAGGTGGAGAGGACATCCAGGAAAGGACAAGCCTTTGTCTTTGTTCAGTTGACAGGTGTTACAGTTACGTCATGGAAATTCCACACTGCCCTGTTCCAGCCCTGTTCAAGATCTGTCTTGTCGGATTTGAGCTGAACATCCTGGATCTCGGGACATCTGGCACTGCAGCTTTTTTTTTTTTTTTTTTTGCGATACGCAGGCGTCTCACTGTTGTGGCCTCTTCCGTTGCGGAGCACAGGCTCCGGACATGCAGGCTCAGCAGCCATGGCTCACGGGCCCAGCCGCTCCCGGCATGTGGGATCTTCTCGGACCGGGGCACGAACCCGTGTCCCCTGCATCGGCAGGCGGACTCTCAAACACTGCGCCACCAGGGAAGCCCGGCACTGCAGCTTTTTAAGGGCTGCACTCTCTGTGTTCAGAGTCAGGGCATCAGGTCCACTGCTTTGTTTTGTAGTCAAATAAAAATAGTTCCCCCCACCCCCTGCCCCAGTCATAAAGAGAGTTACCTACTCAGTGCAGAACGTTATTCAATACAAGAAACACCTTAAGATGCTAATACTCACACGGAATTACTGTTAAACATTCTTGTGAACTTTCTTTTAGTAACACATTCTGGATGAATACCCTTCATATGAACATTTTTACTGCTGTACTTCCATGTTTCTTATAATCTGCTTTCTTTAACACTTAATATGGGGACTTCCCTGGTGGTCCAGTGGTTAAGAATCGGTTTTGCAATGCAGGGGTTGCCGGTTCAATCCCTGGTTGGGGAACTAAGATCCACATGCCGTGGGGCAACTAAGCTCGTGTGCCACAATTAGTGAGCCCGCGTGCCACAAGGAAAGATCCCACATGTGGCAACTAAGACCCAACGCAACCAATAAATAAATATTAAACAAAAAAAAGAATTGAAAGCAGGGACTAGAACATATATATAAACTTAATATGTTAGGGAGATCATCCTGTATCTATAACGGAGTGAAAATCATCTTCTGAATGACCAGTTAATCTTTCTGCATCAGTCTCTCCCAGAGCCCCCAGCAATGGCTGAATTCTTGTAAACCTGGGATGGAATGGTATTTGAAGAGACAGGGAGTCAGCTAGGTCACCAAAAGGAAAATATCAAGGCAGAGCTGGCATCTTTTTCTGTCCCAGTCCTCGTCTTTGCCGATCATCCTTGTCTCCTCAGCGGTCTTTCCTCACCTTCAAGAGCTGCCTTGGGAATTCTTTGGTGGTGCAGTGGTTGAGAATCCGCCTGCCAATGCAGGAGACACGGGTTTGAGCCCCGATCTGGGAAGATCCCACATGCCGTGGAGCAACTAAGCCCGTGTGCCGCAACTACTAAGCCTGTGCTCTAGAGCCGTGAGCCACAACTACTGAGCCCGTGTGCCACAACTACTGAAGCCCGCATGCCTAGAGCCCGTGCTCTGCAGCAAGAGAAGCCATTGCAATGAGAAGCCCGCACACCGCAAGAAAGAGTAGCCCCTGCTCGCCACAACTAGAGAAAGCCTGCGTGCAGCAGTGAAGACCCAGTGCAGCCAAAAATAAATTAAAAAAAAAATAATAAAATAAAGCTGCCTTCCGCCAGGGAAGACTAGCCGGCTTCTCTCTAGGTATGGCTCAGCTTCTTGGGGATATTTATTTGGTCATGCAAGAAATAAAACCAGCCCTTCACCTCCTGAAAGAACCTCTTGCCTATTGCCTCTAGCCCAGAGGGATCTAACTTTCCATTTCTGCTTGGTTCTTCATTTTTTTCTAGTACTTTTACACAGTGACCTCCTTAATCCTTCTTGTTGCTTTTGGCAAAACTGGTTATTCTAAGCCTGGCGTAAGGCTTGTGGCTTCAAGGTCAGCATTTCCCCAATAAGGTTTTTCAGCCACCCAACCCCAGAGCTCCAGGCTTCCTTCTGCTCTGCCCAGTGGCCGCTTTACTGTGGTCATTATCTGTTTTCCTTCCTATGTTCTGACTTCGAGGCCCAGGCAGTCGAGTATCTCTCGTGCGACTTCCTTTTGATCTGGGTATCAAGAGCATAGGAGAGAAGCGGTGCAGTCCCAGCCCTGGAGGAACCTACAGTCTGGTGGACACCCAAGGCCAAGAGAAAAGCTTGTAGGAGCCCTTGAAAAGAAACAGGAAAACAAATGCAAAACAACAATAATGCCTTCCATCTGTGCTCCGAAGCCCTTTCTCATACATTATTTTCCACAGTGCAGAGCACATCCGTGATATGGAAAATGTGGAGTGGTGGCATACTCGGGAAAGGCTTCCGTCTCAATCTGGTCTGCAGCCCCCAAGAGGTCGTCTTGTTTGGCTTCATTCATTCATTCTTCCTCAAATACATATCGAGCTCCTACTACATGCCAGGCACCTCTCCCCTTAGTTGTCTACAGAATTCACGCCATCTCTCATGTTCCATTGCCCTCCATCTTTTCTGCTTATTCCCAATGCTTTGCCTCAATCCCACCTATAGTGGTTTCTATTCATCTCCTCTTATTCTATTTTTGGTGGAAAGGGGAGCTGTTGCTCCCCAGTTACCATATAATAACCCTTCAGAGTCTGTTATTAGGCATCCTTGGGGCTGCCGTATTTACCTTTTAATAAAGCCGAGTTTCTCTGCTCTCCTATACGGGGGCTGACCAAGGCTGTAAAGGGAGGCGCCCTCTGTAAGCCTCCTGCTGGCTGTGCCAGGCTGGGAGGGAAAGGGTGCACACAGCAGTGCCCGTTGTGTGGAACAGAGCCAGCTGGAGAATAATCGCCCGATTTAGTGTGAAAACCTGATTCAGGTGGAACAGGTGCTGCCGGGATGGGAGGGTGTCTGTGTGGTCATGGCAGATCAGAGAGAACTTTCAAAGCACACTGTCCAGTGTTTAGTGACCTGGAATGTGTCTCCCTGTCCACCGTGTCCTGTTGACAGCTGCTCATTCCCAGGCTTGGTAGACCTGACGTGCCCAGTCCATTCCCCCTAGGTGTCCCAGATCAGAGAACTGCGGGAGATGTGGGCTCCTCCAGAGCGAGATGTGAATCAGCTTTAGATGAAGCCTGGAGTTGTCCTGCGGTCCTCACAGAAACTGCCTCCTGGAGATAGACTTCTCCTCTTGGGTGTGAGCTGAAGCTGGACTGACCTTGGGGAAAGGAGGTTGTATCAGTCAGGTTCTTGGTTATAAGCAACAGAGCCAGAACTTGAATTTAAGGAGAAGGGAATGTATGGAGAGGATTTTGGAGCGTGCACAGACTTCACACCAACGCTGGGCAAGTAGGCTTGGAAAATGAGAACAAAGGAGGCACTGCAGCCGGAACCCAGGCCTAAATGACAATCCAGAAATGGTCTGGCAAAGACCCTCGATGCACTGTGGCACCTCCAGCACCGGCAGCTTTACTGTGGGCAGTTGCCACTGGTACCCTTATCAGCATTGCCCCAGACACGGGGTGTGGCTGCCTCTGTCAGAAGGGGTTTCCATGTTCTCCTTCTTGCATCACTAGTTCCCTATTTATTGTCAGGCTTGGGGTATCTGATGGCTCAGCCTAGGGGTCCTTTGCCCAGGCTTGGAAGACAAACATCTAGTGTTTTCAGCTTCTACATTCACGGATGATCCTTGTCACTCTCAGCTCATTAGATGGGGAACTCCCCCAATCTAGAAAGTACTGGATGCTTAAAAGCTGACTAATGCACATGAAAGGGGTCCTGGGAGTGAAAGAGCATCACAGTGGATGCTCTGAACTGGTCTGCCTAACTGTAGCTGGCAGCTGTTACAAAACTGAACCACCCACCAGCAGTGGGCGAAGTGCTTTTCCATCCTGCATGCCCTCAGGTCCCCACCACAACCTTGTGAGATGGTGGGGACATGAAGGAGGGCAAATAGTAGTGTCAGTTATGAAGGAGGTTTGGCACTCGGGCTGAGGAGTTTGGAGGTGAAGAGGACACTGCACATATCTGGGCAGGAAAGCCCACGTGGCCTCACAACACTGTGCTTGTGGAAAACTAGAACCGAGCTGACACTGAGATCATCCTCCTGCTGTCCTGTGTCCTTTCTCCTTCCTTCCCTGCCGCACGGCGTCTTGGCCGTCTTTAGCTGGGGAGCCTCAGGAGTCCTCACTGAGCTGGTGTGCCCGCCTCTGCTCCTGTGGGGTGTCCCCTACATTTCAGGGCTTACCCAGGGGCTTTCCCACATGCCCATCCAACATCCCCCCAGCACGGGCTGGCGAAGTGTCTACCTTGCCCGGGGTCCAGATGGCACTCAGTACTGATGACCCCAACTCTCTGCCTCTCCCTGCAGCCGTTAAGCACAGCCGGCATCCTGAGCTCCTCCTCTACCACTTCCAACAGGTTAAGGAATAGGCCTTGCTATCGGACCAAAGCCCTGAACTCCGAGGTGGATGAGAGCCTCTTCGGAGCTATCAAGGTAACCCTCACCCAGCCCCTCCAGGGAGCGGCCACTTGGAGGCAGTGACCCAAACTAGCATTGCTCAGGACAAAGCTAGCTCTGGGCAGGCCACCCCCTCCCAGGTAATTCTCAGACTGGAGACCGGGAGGGGTTCTGAGGCTTGAGTGCACGAGCTCGGAAGCCTAGTGGAGCCCAAGCAAACAGGGCACCTGGCTTCCTCCACCATGAAATCCTTAGGTCTTCACAGCATTTAAAAATCTGTTATAACGTTGAAGGGAGTCTCAGCTGCAGAGCACTCAATATTCACTCTTTGCTCAGTGAGCGCCCCGTGATGGAAATGTTTGAGGGCCACTGGCCCAAGCTTGCAGATACAGACCAACATAATTACCCCTCCATCGGAGAACAGCATCAGAGTGAAAAAACACAGAATCAGCCTTCTTTCCCGGTTGCTCAGCTAAAACAGTTACTTTGGGCTTCCCTGGTGGCACAGCGGTTGGGGGTCCGCCTGCTGATGCAGGGGACAAGGGTTCGTGCCCCGGTCTGGGAGGATCCCACATGCCGTGGAGCAGCTGGGCCCGTGAGCCATGGCCGCTGAGCCTGCACGTCCGGAGCCTGTGCTCCACAACAGGAGAGGCCACAACAGTGAGAGGCCCGCGTACCGCAAAAAAAAAAAAAAAGAAAATACAGTTATTTTGCTTTGGGAAACAGGCAGGTGTTTGTTTGCAAATGTCATCCCATCTAAGAGGCTGACGACTTGAGAAGGAGAGCCAGAGTGTAACTTGGAATAACCTTGGTACACGTGATGTTCAGACGGTAAGAAGGAAGAGAGGCAAGGAGAGAAAGAGGATGAGACATGGAGAGAAGGGTGGTGAGAGATTGAGAGAGGAGAGGGACGCTGCCTGTATGTTATCTAGTTGTTAGAGTAAATGCTAAGAGCTCTCAACACAAGGAAAACAGTTTTCTCTATTTCTTTAATTTTGCATGTATATGAGACGATGGGTGTTCCCTAAACTTATGGTGATAATCACTTCATGATGGATGTAAATCAGGTCAATATGCTGTACACTTATACAGGGCTGTATGTCAACTATGTCTCAAGAAAACTGGAAGAAAAATAGAAAAAGAGGCAGAGAAAAGCGAAAAAGAAGAAAGATACCAGTGGTGGTGTGAATACTAGTGTGAATAGCTCTGGCTGCAGGCACACTGGGGAGACGAGAGTTGATGTCTACCCCTGCCCCTCACTCCCCTCACTGCGGACAAGAAAGAACTTTCCAGAGTGTTCCAGATGGGCATCTTTATCCATTTAGAAGATGCCCACTCTGCAGCAGTTTCCTATTGACAAGGGAAAGAATCAAAGCAATGCAGTTTCACTTACAGACGTGTCGTTTATTTGTTTTGAGTCCATGGGGAGTCTTCTAGTTAAACTGAAGATAGATTTGGAAATGGCCGAGTTCTCCAAGCTTAGTCTTGCTGACTTGCAAGAGTGTGCAGGCAAAGTAATGCCTATTCCTGGCCTGTTCTTTGGCCTTTTTGCTGGGTGAGAGTCCAGGAAGTCTCCCAGCCCGACAGTAGGGGGCAGAAGTGGCCTGTGGCCTGACTGAGTTGTGCCACTTGGAAGCAGAGATGGGCACCAGGTGGCAGCAGCACTGCAGGGACGGGTGTGCAAAGCGCGATTCTCCAGACATGAAGGACCTCCACCGAAGCCATGCCCCTGCCTCTACTCAGGACCACAGATACTGCATTCATGACAAATGAAATTCTCTCCTGTGTTCAAAATTTCCTGAAAAGTGATTTCATTTTCTTACTATGTTACTCCTTCATGGTCAGAGCATTTTTTAAAAAACCTCATATATCTAATTTGTATTTGCCTTGCTGAAATCTGATTCACTGACTCCCTCACCCCATTAGATTTAAGGGCAGGTCTCCACCAGGGCCATTTAGCTATTTCTAAATTCCTCCATATGGCTTTTTTGGGGGATGAAAGTAAATGAATCATTAGAAAGGATTAAAAATAACAAATATCATAGATTAGATGAGTCTGTAACAAATTGTATGCTTCAAACCCACAGCGTGGTCAGGAGAGCTAATTATTTTTTCTTTCGTAAACCACAGAGGGAGGAGAACCTAGAGACCCCAAATTTTCATTCCTGATGGTTTTAGGTTAGGAATGGACGTATGCTAGCAACCCTCCCCCCGCGCCCCCATCCCTCTGGGAGTATCTGTACAAGGTATAAAGAAGGCTTGCTCTCAGAAGAGTTGGTCGGTGTAGAGCACATCTGGCCATGTTCAAGGGCAGAGTACCCTGCTGCTCTCAGTGCCCTGGCTACTCTTGGTGGTCCTGCAGTCTAGGCCCCAGCCGGCCTCCTCTGCCGCTGGATGGGGTAGAAGCCCCAGGAGAGGGGAAGGCTGCACTTGAAGTTAGGGCTGACCAGCAGGAAGTGTGGTGACCAGCTTTTAAGCTGTCCTTCCTGACACCACAGCCTCTGACCCAGAGCGACGGCCCCATCGTGCTGCTCCGAGATAAGCATGCCATTCGGAAAAATCTCCCTGCCCTGGGCTTGGACCACAAGCCAGAGACCGTCCAGCTCATCACCCGGGACATGGTCCGGGAGCTCATGTGAGTACCTAGCGCACAGAGCCTTTCCGCTGAGGACCTCTGCGTAGAGATGGGGAAACCCACCTGGTCTCATTCTGTCATTGCGGACCCCACCACTTTCCTATTCATTTCCCCCCTTTCGTTTCTTGGTTCTCCTTTTTTTCTCCATTTTGGTCTCTTTTGTTTCTCCCCACCTTGTATCTATTACTGCCATTGCCCTTGATTCCCAGCTTCTTTCTCTTCCCTTTCTTCTGGCTGCCTTGGGTCCTATGGGGCTGGTAGAGGGGAGGTGCTTAGGGGTCCTCTCTGAGCCCCCATTAGTGCACTTTCCCATTGGTAAAGGGAAATGTCCAGATGAGTCACTTCCTTTTGGCTGCATCGAGAATAGGAAGCAAAGGGAAACTGACCAGATGCCTAATTAGCCCCTTGGCTTCTTCCCAGGCTCTGAGGCCAGAAGAGGAAATTCCCAAGGGCTCTTGGGTTCCTTTGGGATTAGCTCAGCATGGCTTCCTGACTGCAGCAGCCCCTTGCTTGGGCCCCTCCTGTGGTAGGTTTAGGCCCAGCTCAGCCATGTGAAATGAGCCAACACCATCACTCAGTGGTTTAGCTCTTGTGCTAGTGCTTCATTCTCCAAACCATTCTTCCTACTCTGGCTCCACTCACTAAAAACTTGAATTCCCAGAAAATGCAGCCTGTGTCACAAGCTGGGGAGGCACGGGTGGGACACAGCTCCAGGAGCACTGTCTGGTCAGCTCTGGCATGAAATGGCCAGATGTGGTAGCAGCCCTGCAGGTACTCCTGGGGCCCAAGAAATGTCTCCTTCTTGGACTGGTCCAGTCCTAAAAAACACGTTGGAGGTGACTTGTCAGGGCTGCTGAGAGCAGCGTGAGATGCTGTCTCAGATTTAGATCATTTTTTGTTATTCCACATCCCAGATGTTTGGGGCCACGCCACCCAGTGAACCACAAGATCTTGGCTAAGCCTCAAGTCCACTCGATCATTCGTCCACCTCCTGGACACCTCCCCTGCACCAGTTTTTTTTTTTTTGCGGTACGTGGACCTCCCACTGTTGTGGCCTCTCCCGTTGCGGAGCACAGGCTCCGGACACACAGGCTCAGCGGCCATGGCTCACGGGCCCAGCCGCTCCGCGGCATGTGGGATCCTCCCGGACCGGGGCACGAACCCGTGTCCCCTGCATCGGCAGGCGGACTCTCAACCACTGCGCCACCAGGGAAGCCCCCCTGCACCAGTTTTATTGGAGGAAGTTTAACTTCCTGCCTCCTAGCCATGTACCTGTTAAATCGCCTCACCCAGAAGCATCTTTATCCCCACCCCTCTGCTCCATCTTTAATGTGTGTCATTTGTTTGTAATCTTTATAATTATCTATTGGTTTGTTGAATGTGCTGGGCAGCTAGAAAGGTCTATAGACATGTCTCTGACTATTGTTGATCAGAGAGTTTAATTAATATTTAGGTTTCAAAGCTTCTCTCTGGGCTGGATGCACAGGGATGCTTTTGTTTCTCACTGGCGTCCACTTCATCCTTGTCTGGCATCCCCTTCCTCTTTTTATGTCATCCTTGAGGAATCATCTATTTTAAAAGTTCAATTCAAAAAAAAAAAAGTTCAGTTCAACAACTTTATTATGAGTCCTCAGTCTGTGCCCAGCACTGTGCCAGACGCTGGGCTGCCTGTGGGGTTAAGACAGAGTCCGTATCCTGGAGGAGCTTGTGAGCCAGCAAGGGAAACAGAAGTTGCCCACAACACTGGCAGGGAGAGCAGAGGGAAGGAGGTGGTCTATGTATGTATACATGGGGGAGGGTCATACACGGCGACGCAGAGAAGGTAGCATATGAACCGGACTTTTTAGCAAAAGTCCTTAAACTGTCCCTTCTTTAGCCCGTGACGCTACTCCACCCTTGCCTGGGACCGCTTTTCCCCAGTGGACCCGTTGCGCAGTTGGCTGTCTCTCCTGCCCTTGCCCGAGTCCCTGCAGGCGGGTGGGCAGTGATGAGGGGCAGGGAAGAGAGCCGAGCAGCCTGCAGTGTGGTGCTGAGAGCTTGCCCTTCCCTCCCCTCCCCTCCCTAATTTTGTTCAATCCTTGTGTCAGCATCCCCACCAAGGACCCCTCCGGGGAGTCCCTTATCATGAGCCCTGAGGAGTTTGAGCGGATCAAATGGGCATCCCACGTGCTGACTAGAGAAGAACTCAAGGCCAGGGAGCAGGCCTTCAAGGAGGAGAAGGAAGCCATTGTGGTAGCTACCCCCGTCCCCCATCTATGCAGAGGGGTGTTGAAGAGAAGGGCTGGGGAGAGGCCGGCTTCCCACAAGACTGGGAGCTCTAGTTAGGGGACCCTGAAATGGGGCGTGAACGTGCTAAAGAGGACGTGTTGTAGAATTAAGAGTGGGTGTGGGGAGGAACCGCAGGGCGGCGGGAAGGGTGAGGAAGCCAGGCTGAGAAACCCCTGGGCTCCGACAGTGCGGTGGGGTGAGGCGAAACTCATCTGGGGTCAACCGTGGCAGCCGGGCTAGTGCCCAGGGCACACAGCACAGGCAGTAACCCCCCACTAATCCCGACGTGGCTCCCATAGGACGCAGTGACCACACGCAAGAAGATCATGAAACAGAAGGAAATGGTTTGGAGGACCAGCAAGAAGCTCAACAATCTGGAGGAGGTGGCCAAGGACAGGGCCCAGAACCTCCTTCAGAGAGCCAGGCAGCTGCGGATGGAGCAGGAGGAGGAGCTGAAGGACGTGAGCAAGGTGAGCTCTCCCTTCTCCCTCCCTCCTCCTATCTCTCTTTCTCTCTCTCTTTTTGTTTTTTTAATTTAATTTATTTTTGGCTGCATTGGGTCTTCATTGCTGTGTGCAGGCTTTTCTCTAGTTGTGGTGCGCGGGCTTCTCATTGCAGTGTCTCCTCTTGTTGCAGAGCACGGGCTCTAGCCGCCCAGGCTTCAGCAGTTGTGGCTCACGGGCTCTGGAGCGCAGGCTCAGTAGTTGTGGCGCACGGGCTTAGTTGCTCCACGGCATGTGGGATCTTCCCGGATCAGGGCTCGAACCCGTGTCCCCTGCATTGGCAGGTAGATTCTTAACCACCGCGCCCCACCAGGGAAGTTCTATCAAGCTTCCTTTTTTTTTTTTTCCCCCCTTGGCCGTGCCACACAGCTTGCGAGATCTTAGTTCCCTGACCAGGGATCAAATCCATGCCCCCTGCAGTGGAAGCACAGAGTCTTAACCACTGGACCGCCAGGGAAGTCCTCCCTCCTCTTATCTCTTATTCACACACCTGACAGCATGGGCTCCAGCTGGAGACAGGGTGCAGGGGTGAAAGGTCAGGGTCTGGCCTTGGCAGGGGAACGGGATGGAGAGCTGCACTTGCCACGTGCCTGCTGTGTGACCTTCGGCAAGTCACTTGCCCTCCCTGAGCCTCACTTCAGTTGTAAAATGAGGGTGGTGAAACTACTTAGCAGAATTATTGGCAGGATTAAATATGTTAATATATGGGAGAGGCTTTGCGAACTGTGGGTTGATAAATGCATGTGAGGATGCTACTTGTATCTTTATCCGGCTAGTTCAATTCTGGCCACATATGGTGGTCCCAGGCAATTGGGTTCTTTTTGTCGTGTTCAAAGTGCTTCCCTTAGCTGAGAGCATAAAGACCAGAGGCTCATTGGGAATTCTATTGTGTAACTCAATTGCGTGTGGTTCACTTCCTGGCAAAATGAAAAATGCTGACTCCCCAGCCCCTTCATCTACAGTTTCTGTCTCTCAGGTAAATCTTCTTTACTTCCTTTTATTTTCCAAAGCTTTTACTCCATAGTTCTTATTGATGGCTCATGGTTTTTCATTCCGTTATGTGTCATGTTGGGCTCTTCTAGTTTAAAAATCTAGTGGCTTGGCCTCTGCAAGAATGTTTGTTTCCCCAAAGTGTAGAACAGCGGGTCTTCACTTGGGGTTCATGGGTCTCTAAGGGGGGACCATGAACTTCTGAAGTTTTACGGAAATTTTGTGTGTACAGATGCAAATGAATTTTATGGAGGAGAAAGCCCATAGCTTTCATCATATTCCCAAAGCGTGATCCATGACCCCCCAAACACTAAGATCCAATACCCTGAAAGACGCTATTTTTTTTTTTGCGGTATGCGCGCCTCTCACTGCTGTGGCCTCTCCCTTTGCGGAGCACAGGCTCCGGATGCGCAGGCTCAGCGGCCATGGCTCACGGGCCCAGCCACTCCGCGGCCTGTGGGACCCTCCCGGACCGGGGCACGAACCCATGTCCCCCACATCGGCAGGCGGACTCTCAACCACTGCGCCACCAGGGAAGCCCCGACACTATTGCTTTTCTGGGCTTGTGAGCACACTCAATAGGATTCTGCTCCCATTTCTCCCCGTTCCCACTTCCCTATCCCCGTGATGCATTCCCCCCCATCCTTACTCCCAGGCCTAGTACCACAGCTTTATTTCCCCTCCCCAGATCATCCTCAACGCTAAGTGCCACGCCATCCGGGATGCCCAGATTCTGGAGAAGCAGCTGATCCAAAAAGAGCTGGATGCAGAGGAGAAGCGGTTGGATCAGATGATGGAGGTGGAGCGGCAGAAATCCGTTCAGAGGCAGGAGGAGCTGCACAGAAAGAGGCGGGAAGAGAGCATCCGGTAAAGAGATGGCTTTGGCACCTTCCCCTCTTAGTCATTTCCATGTGTCTTTAGGTCCATATAGCCTTGCAAAGGGGGAAGACATGAGAAATGGTCATTATCCTCCTCTGTTATTATCTCAAAACCTTTATGGAGTGATTCAGAGAACCACAGAACTTCTTAAAACTTATTTCCAAGATCACAACAGGTGCTTCATAATCTGGCCCCAATTCAGCCTCATTTTGCACCATTTCCTGCCATCCATTCTATGAAGCTTTCCTTCATTTCCCCCAACATGCCAGGTCTTGACAAAAGCTCATGACTTTTGTTGTTCCCTCTCCTTTGAATACCCTTCTCTTTCCTTTCCCCCCGAAAAACGCGCTCTCTTCTTTTAGTATGTAGCTTTGCCGTCTCCTCCCCTGAGAAACCTCCCTCACTTCACCTGGCAGGCTTTAGGGCTCCCTTCTCTGGGTCCCGCCACACCCTCTTTATACTCTGGCGCACCCCTCCTTGCACTGTGGCTCCCTGACCCTCACCAGGCTGTATGCTCACTGAGGACAGGGTCCCTGTCTTATTCATTTCTGTAGCTTCTGGGCCTACCAGAGTGCCTGGACTGTAGTAGGTGCTTAATACATGTTAGAATGAATAAATTCAGTCCCCTTCATTCTGCAGGAAAGGACAGTCCCAACGCAGGTAAATTATAGAATCATAGTATCCTGGATTTAGAACGCCAACTATATAATTGAAGAATTACCTCTATAAATAGTCCTTGTAAAAAAAATAGTCATTGCACCACACTGAGTGGCAGTTCTTTCTCCCCATCTGTATTCTGTTCTCATGTACCATTCATCTTTGTACTTCTAGTAGGTACCTGGCTCACTATAGCAGGCTCCCAATAAAAGTTTATTTCATGGCCAAGTGGCTCTTCATTTTTTGCATAAACAGTTCCAATGAAAGGAAAATCCCTGCCTTATCAGCAGCTCTAATGAGTTGACCTGGTCCTTATATTGAGTCTAAACCTGCTTCCATGTAACTCTTTTACTCATTGCTCTAGTGTATTTCATCTGGAGTCATTCAAGAGCTCTATCTTTCTTTCTTTCTTTTCTTTCTTTCTTTCTTTATTTGTGGTACGCGGGCCTCTCACTGTTGTGGCCTCTCCCGTTGCGGAGCACAGGCTCTGGATGTGCAGGCTCAGCGGCCATGGCTCACGGGCCCAGCCGCTCTGCGGCATGTGGGATCTTCCCGGACCCGGGCAGAAAGAGGGCAGGAAGGCTGGGAGAGTGGGAGAAGACACAGATTACGATAAGAATCTACGGGAAGGAGTACGAGATTGACATTCAGATAGAGCTCTTGGGATTCCCTGGTGGCGCACTGGTTAAGAATCCTCCTGCCAATGCAGGGGACACGGGTTCGAGCCCTGGTCCAGAAAGATCCCACATGCCGCGGAGCAACTAAGCCCGTGAGCCACAACTACTGAGCCCGCGAGCCACAGCTACTGAAGCCCGCGTGCCTAGAGCCCGTGCTCTGCAACAAGAGAAAAGTATAATCTATGAAAGAAAAAAAATCAATAAAGTGGGCTGCATGAAATTAAAAAAAAAAAAAAGAACGGTGAGCCCCAGAACCAGGAGTTCAGAAGGGAGAGGACCAACCTGCCAGGACCCTCTGGGGAAGGACTTTGGTCTGGGTTCGTGAAGCATAGCCATGTTTAGGGGGCACTTGTCACATTGTTCCTACGATGCCTCCCATCTTGGGGGTTATTTGGGTGGAGGTTAGAACAGAGAGATACAGACCCTTGGTTTCTAAGACACCATGGCACTGTTTCTTCCCAGAGGAAGACGGCACATTGTGGAACAGATGGAAAAGAAGCAGGAGGAGCGATCGCTGCTTGCCGAGCAGCAGCAACAGGATAAGGAGCAGATACGGGCGTATATGGAGCAGCTCCAAGAGGAGGATCTAAGGGTAACAGGGCTGCACAGATAATGCCAAGTTCCACCGGCAACAGCAAAAAAGCCCTCCAACACTGGGGTTTGAGTGTGTGGGCTGATGTGCCGTCAGGCACACGCTCATTTCACATCATCGTCACCATCAACTTTTTATTGCCTTATGAAACATTTGTTTGGCTGTGGAGTCATGCTGGGGGAGGAGCAGTGATTTGGATACCGTCCCTGCCTTACTGGGACTTGGGGTCCAGGACTGACATATCCGTGTGAATGGACACATGAAGGAAAGATATGGCTACATGCTTTGCACAAATAAACATAGGGATGTTTTATTGTCTTCCCTCAATTACCTAGGGATATTATAGACTTTGTAGGTGAACAGTAGCAGTGTCTCAGTTCTGGACTCGCTGCTGTTGCCTCATCCAAAGTACATTGCATCCCAGTGTCATTAATTGTGTTGAGGAGTCAAACCCTTTGTTCCTGTTAGCCTCAATAAAATTAGTAAGCATATCGTTGCAAAAGTAATGATGACACATCTGTTCAGACCAGGAAGACGTAAACAAATCTTCTTCTATTGGCTTCATCTGATCTGTTGCAGTATACAAAGGCCCCTGGCATAGTGAGGTACATGGCAAGCATTTGGGGCATTTATTCTTTTTTCCCCTCAATTTTTCACTTAAAAAAAATTTTATACACACAGACAAGTTGAAAGAACTGTACCACACCCATCAATGCTTCACCTAGATTTAGTGGTTGTTAATCTGCCTGAGTTGCTTGTCTCTTTTAGATGTATATACGTATTTTGATATTGTTAAACTGTTTGAAAGTAAGTTGCCAACATCTTGACACTTTGCTGCTGAATGCTTCAGCCTGTATCTCTGAAAGACATTTGCTTACAAGTCAACAACACCATTATCAACAAAATTAGAATCCAATGATTCTATAATATCATTTCATATTTACTCTACACTCAAATTTACTCAGTTGTTACAAAAATATATTTTCTTTCGTCCAAACCAGGATTCAATCAAGGTTCACACATTGCATTCACTAAGTCTTTTAAGTCTATTTTGATCTAAAAGAGTTCCCTCCCTCATTCATTCATTCATTCATTTTCATAGCACTGATACCTTGAAGCATCCAGGACATTTGACTTGAAGAATGTCCCACATTCTGATTTGTCTGATTGTTTCCTCATGGTACCATTTAACTTGTGGAACACATATTCTTTTATTGTTCTCCTCCTTCCCCATGTTTATGGGTGATTGAGTTGTCATCTCCCAGTGAATTTGATGGTGAGGAGCGACAGGGGGCCCTGAAGGATCTCATGGGGGGCCTTATAATTATGAGGGCTTCTCAAGCACTTGCCGTATGAGGGTCTGTGTGAGGGCTGGGAGGCTGATAACCAGATGGTCAGGGAAGATGAGGGGCAGGCAGCCTTGTGAACTGCATGAGAAGGGGAGCAACAGGGCCATGAAGACAGACAAGACCTGGCCAAGCTCCTGGCTCAGGAGAGAGAGGGAAAGGGACAGGAAGGACAGGTCTGGGATAGATATGCAGGAAAGTGGAAAATCCAAATTGACTGTGGGGAATGGGCATTGGTGGGTTCATTGAGAAAGTTCCAGGTGTCACTGAGTCAACACAATTACTCCGGTGTTAGGTCATTGTCCTTTTCCCGTCCTTCTAGGCACTCCCTAAGTCTCCAGGAAGTATCATTGGGCAGAGGTAGAAACCTCTGCCTCCCCAGCGTAGAACTGCATCATCTCCCGGTGATGCAAGGGCAGCTTTCCCCACCTTGCTAGCAAGATGGAGAGAATGAAGGGAGTTTTCTGGGGTTGCTTCACGATGGCTTCAAAGATGAGAAACGGGGGAAGTCCTTTGGTTTCTTGGAAATGAAATGAACCCACAAAAACAACAAACCAAAAAGTAAATAAATAGGCAAAGAAGTAAGTAAATATATGATTATATGTATGTCATAGATCAGAAGTCAGCAGCTTTTCTAGCTTTGAGGGTCAGTGGGATTAAATACTGCCTGGGGTACCAATGGCACGTGTAAAACTGATGGGGAGAAGGTAGGAAGGAAAGGAAGAAAGGGAAAAGGGGAAAAAACAGTGTGGGAGTTGGAGTGTCAGGAGGGGAACTGTGGCGTGAGCAAGGAGGCAGGTGCTTGGAGGGTGAGGGGATGCTGGCGGCCGTGACTCAGGCACCACGTGGACCTGGGGGGAGGCACACAGCACTGTGCTGGTCTGGTTCAGGAGGCTTCCTGGAGGAAAGAGCCCTGAACTGGGCAGTGAGCCAAGCTGGGGGAGGGTCAGCAGTGTTGCCTGGGATGTGTCAGGGCAGAAGCTGGGCTGAGGAGGAACTGGGAGGCCAGGTAGCGGTTAGTCTTTGAAGAAATGGAAGGAGCGGGAAGCAGTGTGGGAGGTGGGGTGAGTTGATGGGTAGGAGAGTTTGAAGCAAGGAGTCCAAGTTCGAGACGGTAGGGAGGCCACTGCCCAAGGTCCCAGTGCCCCCCCACATTGGGACCTGAGGGTGTGCTTAGAAGTGGTCTGATCACTGGGAGCTTTCAAAGGCTCAGGCTCATTCCTTAGAAGGGATCTTGTCACTCAGGGCGACTGGGACTCTGATGTCCATCACTCATTGTTTTTCTCGCTGAGGTTTTTTCTCTATCTCACTTGCCACTCACCTTGGCCCCCTCTTCCCTGCCTCATTATTGAGTATTTGCTGTTTCCCTCTCAGTATTGGGAAAGAGAAGAAGTGTTACACATGGTCCCTGTCCTCTGGCTGGGACAGAAGGAACACACAGGAAGCGAATGGGATCCTCACGGCAACGTATGATCAAGTCCGAGGAGGTGTGGCACCATCTTAAGTGCAAAGGGAATTCAGAAATGCAGAGAGAATGAAAACTTGGGGCAATCAAGTAAGAGCTCCAGAGACGATTGGAACTTTAGTTTGGACAGACCAGGTTCCAAAATTCTGGCTCTGGAGTTCATTAGCTGTATGGCCCTGGGCAAGTCGCTTAAACTCTGAGCCTCAGTTTTTCCACCTGTACAAGAAAGATAACAAGGACTACCTTTCAGGGTTTTTGGGGTACATTTAGGTGCTAGAGGTAGGTTATATAAAGTGTCTTATGAATAAAAAGTAATTAGTGCAATACTCTATTTTTTTTTAACATCTTTATTGGGGTATAATTGCTTTACAATGGTGTGTTAGTTTCTGCCCCATAACAAAGTGAATCAGTTATACATATACATATGTTCCCATATCTCTTCCCTCTTGCGTCTCCCTCCCTCCCAAATACTCTATTTTATCTATTTTAATCATCACTATTGAACAGAGACCAAAAGTTTGGGTTTGAATAGGGGAAGGAAATTGAAGGCAGGAGGAAAGTGTAATGAACAAAGGATAGGATTTTGCCTGACTTGGGGGAGACACTGAGTAGAATTTTAAGAGCCTCCACTTCCTGAGAGTTCATAGAGTTCCACAGTGTCAGGGGCTGCCGCAAAGTCAAGGTGAATGAAGACTGCAAAGGGCCATTTGGCTGGAAGAGGTCATTGATGACCCTTGAAAGAACAGCTTTAATCAAGGGCAGTAACTGGAGTTAGACTTCAGAGTGTGCATCTCTCTCCCTGCCTCCATCTGTGTCTCTCCATCCCAAGAGGCCAGTATCTTTTGATCTTTCCCCTTCTACTCTGATGCTCTCTCCCTTCGGTGGCAGGACTTGGAACGAAGACACCAGCAAAAGCTGCAGATGCAGGCTGAGATCAAACGCATCAATGACGAAAACCAGAGGCAGAAAGCAGAGCTGCTGGCTCAGGAGAAGCTGGCAGACCAGATGGTGATGGAATTTACCAAGAAGAAGATGGTAGGGACCTGCTTACCGATGCCTGGGACTTCTGAGCAGGAATGGGGTGTCTGTCTCAGGGATATGCAGGCATGAGAACTAAGCTAATGCAACAGAAGATAGTTATGTCGTCATCCTAAAATTCATGTCCTTAGTTCAAGGGCCTGGCTTCTTTTTCTCTTCAACTTGGCCAGTCCCCTTGTTCATTACCAGAGAGTAGCCTGGAAAGGACACCCCAATTAGGGTATTATTGTCCTTGTTAACACCTTTGATTAGAAGTTGGGGTGAGTGTCAGGTGCAGGCAGGGAAGAAAATTAAAACTATTGGTGAAAGTAAAGTTTTCGTGGATTCCTCATGACCTGGATAATTATATCTTCAGTAATCAATCATGGGTCAGCTGCCCCATAAACTTCTTGTGAAAATTCCTGTATTGGGCATCCATCCTATACTGGATGCTAGGCTCAGAAAATAGAGCCTTCAACCACCACCCCCTGTAGTACTTATAAGAACAAATGCACCACGGAACAGGGAGCAATACCCTCGAACAGTTATAGGGAGATGCAGCTCATGAATGTCTGGACTCATTCTGGGGCAAGAATGAGTAATGTCATGGTTGGGGTCTGTGAGGAATGGAGGGCAAAAGAAAGCTTTTAGGCACGGTTTGGATGGAGTGAGCATGGATTTCTATAAGAAGAGAAGGAAAGACTTGAGGTGGCAGGAAAGTTATTCAACTCCTCATGCGTGAGTCCTGCCTTCCCTACTAGCTTTGAGGTTCCATGATGATACCATACTTCTCTATGGTAGGGATTCTTAATTATGGCCAGGGGGAGGGTGTGGGTGCAATTGGAAAAGGCATATTTGATATACCTCTATACTCCAAATGCAAACGAGAGAAAATGAAGCTCAGCAAAGCTCATTTATTGGCTGTGGCTTCCTTACTGGATGCCAGGGATATGCAGGCAACAGAGTGAGAACGCGAGACTGGGGACACGGGGATTCCAGCATAACAGCGATCACACAACTACCATTAATCAAGCACTTAGTCTGTACACAGGCTCTGTGCTAAGGGCTTTGTGTGTTGTCTTATCTAGTCGTTACAACCACCTTGTGAAGCTAGTCATTGACTGATTGAAAAGATCCTGAATGCTTCAATGTGTGTCCAGTATCAGACAGGCTGAATGTACCTAGAGTAATGCTATGTACAACGTATGGAACTCAGCAACTGTTTCCCTGAATGGGCGAAGGTGGCGATCATAAGCCAATCACGTGTAGGAATTGGTGAACAGTTTCACTGGCTGCAGCAGAGAGTCTCTGGTGGTTGTGATGGGAAACGAGGTAGCGAGATGATGGAGAGCTGAGAACGGTTGTTGGGAATGCCTTGGACCTTGAGCAGAGCTGCAAGTGTGGAACGATGAGGAATTGCCATTGATTTCTGAGCGGGAGAGGAATAGGTCTTGTCTTCGTACATGAAAATGTCATTGGCAGGAGAACCTGGGAGAGGCAGGAAACTGGCAAAGGGATCGGGCACTTGGGCATGCCCACAGCCCACCAGAAGAATCCAAGTGTATCACAAGCCCTTCCCTGACCTCACAGTGGTCTCTGTTCTTACAGCCGGGGCTGCCGCTTTAGAGCTAAAGGCAGAGATTGGTGGTGGAAGCCTCCAGAGTTCCCTGCCCTGGTATCTAGGGCAACGTGGAGCAGAGAGACCAGCTTGACACATAGCCAGCTGTGCACAGCTCACAAGCTGACAACTCATTGGGTGCACAGAAGTCTAGAAAGGTGGAACGAGGCTAAGGAACATTCTTTGTGGGATGATCACATTTCCACCCAACTTAAGCCATTATTAGTCTTATGACTAACCAAGAATCATAGTTGGGAAGCTGTGTATGGAAAGCTTTTAGGGATATGTCTGCTTTTTCAGAGAAGTGGCAAAGGGAGCTAATTTTGATAGTTCATTCCTTAGGTATCTGCTAACCCCTGGGGGGCCGCACATCGCACGGTTGGCCATTTGCCCAAAAGGACTAATGAGATAACTTCCACCTCCTGTACTTTACAAGACAGGCAGGAAGCCACAGTTGTTATTTCTAGAAACTTGGCCCAGCAGCCTTGCAACTTGGAAATTGTGCAGTAGCAGAGAGAGCATGAAGGCTGGGCTCACCTGCATTTGAATCTGTTTGGTAGTTTACTAGCTGTGCCATCTTAGACAGGACCCTTGAATTCTATGAACATCAGTTTCTTTATAATATCAATCTAATGAGATGTTGTGAGGACCATCTGGGATATTACAGGAGAAGGCATTTTGTAAGCAACGAAGCATCTTACAAATGCTGATTAGTTTCATGTCAATGCATTGCTAGTCATTTTGCCCTACCTTAAAAGGAGTCAGGAAGGGGTAGAGGGGATATGGAATAGACAAGGGTCTCAGTTTCTCTCTGCAAGCCTGGGGCAATGGGAAGCCATGCTGTGACGCCTTTTCTTCCTGGCAGGCTCGAGAAGCAGAGTTTGAGGCTGAGCAGGAGAGAATCCGGAGGGAGAAAGAGAAGGAGATTGCCCGCCTGAGGGCAATGCAGGAGAAGGCCCAGGATTACCAGGCAGAGCAGGTACCTATCCAGTCTCAGCTTCTCTCGGCCTCTCCCATCCCCTTAACTGTTCCTCTGACAGCCTGTAGAATGGTCTCAAGGGTGAGGGTATAGAAGAGAGGATGCAAGTTATCTCGACTTCAGTAGCTGGAGGACGGAGAGATGGGCCTGCTTCCAAGCCCACGGCAAGCAAGGATCGAGAAGTGTATTACGTGCTTAAGGTCCAAGAGAAAGACTGGCTGCCACATAAAGAACTTTCAACCTTAACTAACCACTGAAATGTGTCACCAGAGGAAACTGTGCCATCTCCATCATTAGCAGTCATTAAAGTTAGAAGCGATCGCAGGACAGCCGGGAGGTGTTTCAGGTATAGGGAGAGAACTGGAATGAGCTGGGGGTGGGGGAAGGACAAGATGACCCCTCAGGGTATCTTCTGACCTGAAAGTTCTATGACAGGATTCCCTTTATTCTTTCCTAGCATAACCCTGCTGCTAGAGAAATTCGGGGGGCTTCTCAAAGCAAGCTGGGGCAGAGTCCGAAGTAGGTGTCTTCGTAAAGGGACCTGAGGTTACTCTGCATCCTCACTGGTCTCCCCGCCCTCTCCTTTCCCAGGATGCCTTGCGGGCCAAACGCAACCAGGAGGTTGCCGACAGAGAGTGGCGCAGAAAGGAAAAGGAAAACGCACAGAAGAAGGTGGAAACTGAGGCCAGACTGCGGAAAAGTCGGCAAGAACAGGTGGCTTTCAAGGAGCACGCTCTGGCCGTTCAGGTGCAACGGGACCGGGATGAGTTCGAGAGGATTCTTCGGTAAGAGGAGCTGGGAACCTCAGCTTCCCTTCCTGGTAGTGTGGCAGGGATGGTCCGTACTGGGTGGAGAGGCAGTTTCTGGCATGTCCACGGACAGATGTGCATCCACCTTGACCAGGTTGGTGGGGTCATTCTAACTAGATGGATAATTGAAATATTTCAAAGACACTTGAGCAAAGAATTTTATTAAAGAATTGGAAAATAGTACCTACCTGGAAGTGATTAAGGAATTGGTTATTATAGGCATTATTTCCCCGGGAGCATTAAAAGTGTAAGTAAAGGTATAAATCTGGTCTCTTCTGCCCTCCCCACCTCCATGTCCCTCGACAAGTTTGGGCTGAAACTGCAGCAGGGGAGGTTGAAGAGAGAGGGAGAGAAGAACTCACACACTCAGGGTTGCAAGTCATCAGAGCAGGGCTTTGAAGGAGGTCTTTTGACAGATATGTACTAAGCACGTAAAGTCAAGGCTCTGTGTTGGATGCTATGGGAGATATTAGAGATGAATAAAGCACCATTCTTGCCCATTCATCTAAGAAGGATGTTAGAGACTCGTATTTGGATGGGCTTCACCTGTATTTCTCCATCTTTCTGGCCTTGTCAGCTCTTTATCCTTTTATTTTTGTTCTCTATGTTGGCTTAGTTATAATTCCAACACAGAAGTGGAAGTTAAGTGTTCACATCTCTCACTGTCTGTCTCCCTTCTCCTACCCCAAAGCAGTGAGCAGTCTCAGTAGTTCTACTTTCTACCAGTTAGATCTTCCACCACCAGACCTGGCCCCTGGGACGTTCTACTGGCTCTAAGTGTTCTGGCCTAACTGGGAAAGACTCTCTTCTTGCTCTGGTCCAGACTCTATAACATCAAAAAAATTTTTAAAGGAAACAAACGAGGGAATTCCCTGGCTGTCCAGTGGTTAGGACTTGGCACTTTCACTGCCAGGCCCACTTTCGATCCCTGGTTGGGGAACTAAGATCCTGCATGCTGTGCAGTGCAGCCATTAAAAAATTTAAAAAATAATAATAAAATAGGAAATAAACCAAACAAAATTTTAATTAGGGTGGAGGGCTACAAAAATTACAGAAGTTATGCTCAGATAAGTAGAGATTGAGTGATGCAGCCTATCTTTCTTTTTTTTTTTATACAGCAAGTTCTTATTAGTTATCCATTTTATACATATTAGTGTATATATGTCAATCCCAATCTCCCTATTCATCACACCACCACCCTACCCCTCTGCCACTTCCCCCCTTGGTGTCTATACGTTTGTCCTCTACGTCTGTGTCTCAATTTCTGCCCTGCAAATCAGTTCATCTGTACCATTTTTCTAGGTTCCACATATATAAATTAATATACAATACTTGTTTTTCTCTTTCGGACTTACTTCACTCTGTGTGACAGTCTGTAGATCTATCCATGTCTCTACAAATGACCCAAGTTCATTCCTTTTTATGGCTGAGTAATATTCCATTGTATATATGTACCACATCTTCTTTATCCATTCATCTGTTGATGGACATTTAGGTTGCTTCCATGACCTGGCTATTGTAAATAGTGCTGCAATGAACATTGTGTCTTTTTGAATTATGGTTTTCTCTGGGTGTATGCCCAGTAGTGGGATTGCTAGGTCATATGGTAATTCTATTTTTAGTTATTTAAGGAACCTCCATACTGTTCTCCATAGTGGCTGTATCAATTTACATTCCCACCAGCAGGGCAAGAGTGTTCCCTTTTCTCCACACCCTCTCCAGCATTTGTTGTTTGTAGATTTTCTGATGATGCCCATTCTAACTGGTGTGAGGTGATACCTCACTGTAGTTTTGATTTGCATTTCTCTAATAATTAGTGATGTTGAGCAGCTTTTCACGTGCCTCTTCGCCATCTGTATGTCTTCTTTGGAGAAATGTCTGTTTAGGTCTTCTGCCCATTTTTGGATTGGTTTTTTTTTTTTTTAATATTGAGCTGCATGAACTGTTTATATATTTTGGAGACTAATCCTTTGTCCGTTGATTTGTTTGCAGATATTTTCTTCCATTCTGAGGGTTGTCTTTTCGTCTTGTTTGTAGTTTCCATTGCTGTGCAAAAACTTTTAAGTTTCATTATGTCCCACTTGTTTATTTTTGTTTTTATTTCCATTACTCTAGGAGGTGGATCAAAAAAGATCTTCCTGTGATTTATGTCAAAGAGTGTTCTTCCTATGTTTTCCTCTAAGAGTTTTATAGTGTCCAGTCTTACATTTAGGTCTCTAATCCATTTTGAGCTTATTTTTGTGTATGGTGTTAGGGAGTGTTCTAATCTCACACTTTTATATGTACCTGTCCAGTTTTCTCAGCACCATTTATTGAAGAGGATGTCCTTTCTCCACTGCACATTCCTGCCTCCTTTATCAAAGATAAGGTGACCATATGTGCATGGGTTTATCTCTGGGCTTTCCATCCTGTTCCATTGATCTATATTTCTGTTTTTGTGTCAGTACCATATTGTCTTGATTACTGTAGCTTTGTAGTATAGTCTGAAGTCAGGGAGTCTGATTCCTCCAGCTGTGTTTTTTTCCCTCAAGACTGCTTTGGCTATTCGGGGTCTTTTGTGTCTCCGTACAAATTTTAAGATTTTTTTGTTCTAGTTCTGTAAAAAATGCCATTGGTAATTTGATAGGGATTGCATCAAATCTGTAGATTGCTTTGGGTAGTAGAGTCATTTTCACAATATTGATTCTTCCAATACAAGAACATGGTATATCTCTCCATCTGTCTGTAACATCTTTAATTTCTTTCATCAGTGTCTTATAGTTTTCTGCATACAGGTCTTTTGTCTCCTTAGGTAGGTTTATTCCTAGATATTTTATTCTTTTCATTGCAATGGTAAATGGGAGTGTTTCCTTAATTTCTCTTTCAGATTTTTCATCATTAGTGTATAGGAATGCAAGAGATTTCTGTGCATTAATTTTGTATCTGCAACTTTACCAAGTTCATTCATTAGCTCTAGTAGTTTTCTAGTGGCATCTTTAGGATTCTCTATGTATAGTATCATGTCGTCTGCAAACAGTGACAGTTTTACTTCTTCTTTTCCAATTTTAATTTCTTTTATTTCTTTTTCTTCTCTGATTGCCATGGCTAGGACTTCCAAAACTATGTTGAATAATAGTGGTGAGAGTGGACATTCTTGTCTTGTTCCTGATCTTAGAGGAAATGGTTTCAGTTTTTCACCATTGAGAACGATGTTGCCAGCCCTAGCTTTAAGTTCAATTTCACCTTTTTCTAGGTTAGCATCTGGACTTAGGGTCTCCAGGGCCATGTGACCACCACGATGAGCATCTCCAAGTGCTAGGAGCATCTCTTCCATGGCCAGCATTCCAACTTTTCCTACTTCAAGAGCATGGCCTCCTCTATGGCCTATATATGGACTTCCTGCTTCTGGACAGAGGGATGCCTTTAACTGTCAGCCTGTTGACTAAGCAGAAATAGCTGACCTTCCCTACCCAATGGTTCTTAGAAATGCCTGGAAGCTTTCAAAGAGTACTGGCGCCCAGGAGCCAACTCCAGAGATTCTCATTTAACTGGTCTGGGGTGAGGCCCAGGCATCAGTAGTTTTGAAAGCCCCAAGATGATTGTAATGCAGCCAGCCTCCAGGATCCCTGCCCCAGCCCTGTGAAATTACCAGGCCCTTCCCCGTTTAGATTTCCAATTGCCTGCCACCCCAGGGACTCTCTAGTGACACATACAGATTCCCCATTTCCACCCTGTTTCACATAATGTGAAACAATAAAAAACTGTTCTCTATATAGGAAAACAATGGCAAGGCAAGGAGGAGAATCTTTCTGCTTTCATAGATGTGTCCGAGCAGTGGGGATTTGGTGTATAAGTACAGAGGGGCAAGGAAGTCAGCAGTTTTCTTCTGATAAACCTGGAAGGTATAGAATTTTAGGAGGTGTCTACATGTAAAAGAGCTGCTGAGCACCGAGAGGACATGCCATGCATGGTGGAGCTTGGAAGATAGCTAGAGGGAAATGAGTCTGTGAAGTGGTGCTTTTGGTTGGGGTATGAGTGACCCCAGCTGAGACGTCCTGGTCTAAGGTGATTTTAAATTTAGCTTTTGTTTTTGATTACATTGAGGAAGAAAGGAGGAGTTAGCTCAGGATGGCCTATGACTGCATTTCCTCTGAGATGTGAATACATTTCATTTGAGTTTTTTTTTCTGGGAACATCTGGCCTACATTAGCCGTTTTCCTTCTGATGTCAGGGTTCGTGAAGCTTTCTTGTGGAAGCGGCTCCTGAGAGTAGTAAGAAAAATCAGAGATAACAGGCTAAGTTCCTTCTTCTTCCAGCAACTAAGAACCAGCATTGCAGAGTTTACAACTTCTTTGAACCTCCTAAACATCCTCTTTGTTGGTTTTGCTAATGTCATTATTATTGTTAGTGGAAAGGAAGGAAGAGAGAGAGAAAGAAAGCTATCTCAGAACAAGCTGCAGAGGAGTCAGGCATTGTTATAGGAGAGAAGAGTAGGAACAATAGCTTCCAGTGGGTGACATCCTGGCCGTAGGGCCAGCTACAAAATTTGCAGGGCTCAGTGAAAAACGAGAATGTGGAGCCCTTTGTTCAACAATTAAGAATTTCAGAACAGTGACAGCAGAGCCTTAGCTCCGGGCCCAAGCGTTGGGCCCTTCTAAACATGCCCACGGCATAGAGTCACACGCCATGAACCCAGGCCTGGCTGGGATCAGCCTTTGGGGCTGATCTCTGAGCCACAGAAGAGAAGGGCCTGAGTGTGGAGGGCCTTGGTCTCTGCAGCGTGTCCTAAGAGGAGCCTACCCAGCAGCTGCCCCAAAGACTTCCCTGGGCTGGGACAGCTCAGCCTAGCCCATTCGACCGTGTCCCTCCTCTAGGGCTCAGAGAGAGCAGATTGAAAAGCAGCAGCTGGAGGAGGAGAAAAAGGCCAGGGGGCGCTTACAGTATGCCAATGAGCTCCAGCGCCAGGTGCGGGAGAACCAGCAGAAGCAGCTGCAGGACCGGATCGCCACCTTCGAGGAAGGCCGGCGCCTCAAAGAGGAGGCCCAGAAGTGGCGTGAGCGCATTGAAGGCATCAAGAAGAAAAAGATAGAGGAGCTGAGGTGTGGCGGCATCCCTTCCTGCCCAGCTCCTCTCCTCTTCCCCAGGGATTAAGGGAATGAAGGGATGGTGACAGGGGTGTGGAGAGGGCCTGACTCCAGGCCCACATGGGCTGTGGCCCTCTGAAGGGGGCTCCTGGAGAAAGTTCTGGGATGGGGTCTTCCTGGCTCTCTGGGAACTCCTTGGCAGGATGCTGGAGGCTTGACAGGGATGTGTTTGGGGGACCAGGGTTGGGGTACACGTCCCAAGGTTCTGTAAATGCCTGCTTCTGCTGCCTCCTCTTTGGTCTCCTTCTCTATCCCTACCCGTTACACCCTTTCCACCCCTTACACCTGTGTTTCTCCTGCAGAGCCACCGGCCTTCCTGAGAAGTACTGCACTGAAGCTGAGCGCAAAGCTAACATCCAACCCGACACCTCTGTGGACTGAGGGTGCCTCTCGGCCCCTCGGGATGCCTTCAGCGGGCAGCTTCCTCCCAGGCTCTCGGTGTCCATAACTGCAGCTAATCTAGACACTTCTGAGTTACAGATTAAATCTATTCTACTTCTCTAAGCAACAGTCCAGCTTTCTTGCTGCGGGGATGTGGCTGCCACGGGCACTGAACGAGGAGCAAAATTGGTTACGGGAGCCCCAGGTTGTGGGCCGTATGATGCTCAGAGGCAGAGAATGGAAGGATTCTCTCACAGTCAGCCCTCCCGAGCCAGATGGTCCCTTTGTCCTGGTGTCTCCTGGCTTTTCTGTGACTCTCTGGGATGCTGTCATCATGTCCACTTTCAGCTCAGTCTTATCTCTGTCCCCATTCCACGCCCAGCTCAGAGGCACTTTAGGGCAAGGAGCTAGAGATGCTCTCTCAGGGTGGGGCTGGGGCAAGGGCTGGGTTGGGCGGTGCTGGGGAAGGAGGTGTCAGAGCTCTTACCAGTTGCGCGCCTGTGACCCAGATCATGAATGTGGAGAGGGTGATGTTTGAACCTGTGACTCACGCTCCTGTCTCAACCCTCTCATGCCAGAGCCCTTTCAATGCCAGGCAGTGTCACAACACAACATCCTCCATCGGGGCATGACCAGGGCCCAACGTCTCACGCTGCCAGCCTGGTCCCCTCGCCCAAACACAGCCCCCCGCCCCACTCAAGTGGCCGGCTCTCCTTAGTCCACCTCTCTCCAACAAGTGAGGCTCCCCAAAGCTTTATCCCCAAAGATAAAGATCCGTGTTCGCTGGCCTCGCTTTTCCCCCAGATATTCTTCATTCATTCATTTACTCATCCAGGTACCGCTGAGTGCCTACCATGTGCTGGGTACATTCTAGTGAAGTCAGTTCTCAGTGAATCAGCAGACCTGTTTCCATCTCCACAGAAGCTTCTCGTCTGTGTCAGTCAGTCTGCTCTTGCTTCCCACTGCCCCCGTGCTGCTTCCCACAAAATTTCTTGTAGCTTTAGAAGGGTCTCCCCCTATTTGGAAGGACCTGGAGGATCTGGAGGAGGCTGTGTGCTAACTTTCCGGGATGAAGCCATTTCCCCCATTTTTGTATGCCTTTGAGGGGAGAGGGCCTCCGTCCGGCTCCCATCACTATGGCAGCCTCCTTCCCCCTCGGTTTCATTTCTCAAATCCAGAGCCGAGTCTTGTCTCCTTCGGTGGGTCCTGCACTAAGAGGAGGCAGAAGATAGCTGCTGGGCGTGTCCCCAGTGTTTACAATGCCAGGTTACAAGGACCTCCGGCAAGAGTCCTCTTTTCACAGGGCCCAGGGAGAGTGGGCAAGCTGCTTCCTGTGCTTCCTCTGCCTCAGGACAACTGCAGCTTCCCCAGGCACCTTCCTCACCTTCCCCACCACAGAAGACTGCAGCCCCCTTTTCCCCCAAACCAGGTGGGCAGCCCCACCAGCTGCTAGGGGAAGAGGCTTTCTCACCTTCCCTGCTCCATACCCCTAAGCGCATACCTCCTACCTAAAGAAGTTAATCCCTTCCTCCCTAGGGGTCTTGGGAAGATGTGGTACCCAGCCTGGGATGGGAGAGAAGACATGGCAATGCCACTGAGGCAGCTGGCATACTTGCTTAGGTTCTCTCTAAGCATTCCTATTGCATGATTAAGAATACCTGCAGGGACCAAAGAGTGAGACTTGACTTGTTTCAGGGGACCCTCTTCCCAGGAAAGCCAGAAAGGACCTCAGGGGCCTGGAGCTTGCCCAGCTCGCTACTGATCTCTTCCATCTCGGGGCTGAGAGGAACAAGCTCCCTTGGAGTACGGGCCAAGAAGTGGACCTCCCCCCAGCTGCCCCCACCTGCCCTGCTCAGGAACAACCAGCCTCAGACTTGTTGCTAGAGGTTGGACTTTTGGGTGGGCAGTGTTTTCTCCTAGGGATGTCTTCAACTTTCCCTCCTAGGGCTCAAGGGTAGAAATAAACTCTGCACCCCTCCAAGCTGCTGAATCATCTTCGGGGTATCTAGGAAGCTGCGAGATTCCGAGCTGGAGAGCAGCGCTGGGGAAATCTGGAGATAAGTAAGAGGTGCTGTTTAGTGCATTGTGTCTGTTGATGTAAGGATATTAGAAGCTTGCAAAAAAAAAAAAAAAAAAAAAAGGGCCCAAGCTACTAACTTTGTCGTATGTGTACCTCATTGACTTCCCAGCTCCCTTCCCAGTTCCTTGGCTCTTCCGGTCCTTTTAGTGTCAGACTGGGCTGGTGCAGCCTGGTCTATCCAGTGGCTGGGTGCCACCTTGGAGCGCTGAGTCAGGTCTGCAGGCAGCTGCCTCCTGGGAATGTATGTCCCAGCTCCTGGCTGGGCTCCATGCTCTCCCTGCCCATGTGTACGTGTTGCCTGAGTCACGCTGCACTGGGGCTTGGAGGCGGTCTCAGAACCTTTGCACCTGCTGCAGAAGCAGCACCAGTTGGGCATGACTCAGCAGCCCACACTGGTGGCCCAGCCAGGCTGTCCCTGCCTCAGTGGGGGCCTGGGATATCCTCCAATACCCCTGAAAGCCTCAACATCCCTGTCAATGACTCGGGCCCCCCACTGGGCATTAACTGGTTTCAGTAAAATCTCTCTGATTAAGCTCCAATGAAAGGGGCTCAGGAGATTTCAAAGCCAATCAGGGCTTCTGGGGTGAGGAAGAGTGGCAGCTGTTGAGGTGACAGTGGAGGGGAGACGCTTTAGTCTCAGACAAGAAGTCTGGGTGTTGAGGCCATGGAGCGCCTCACTGTTTTCTCACTCATCCGACCCCACTGCTGCTTCTGGGGAGCTTGGGGCCTCGGACAGGACTGCTGGGGAGGGGATGGGTCACTCCAGACCAGAGGTCTCTCCCCAATTCTAGGCTGCTGCCAAGGTGACCTGCCCCCCTTTCCCTCCCCTTCCCACACTCTGAGAGATATCCTGGCAAATCACACCAAGGTTACCCGGAAGAAGCTCATGTCCAACATCACAGAAGTCTAGAGTCCCAGAAAGGGCTAAGTTATTCTTGATTTGACTGGCTTTAAATAGCTTAGACTTTCCCTCTGCCTTAGCTCCCAAAGCTCCGAGCCTCCCAGCTCTGCATTTCTTCCTGCATTTTCCATGTCCTTTTGGGAGCGGGGTAGTCATCACCTCCCTGCCCTTTGATGACTTTGACGAAGTCAAAGCCACACCCAAACATACACGGTTCAGGATGATCAATCGTAGCCGCCTAGTCTATCCTGAGGGTCTGTCTCTGACCCCAGTGAGCACTCAGGAGGGCCCAGAGGTTCAGTTCTCAAGGATCTTCCCTCCTCAGTCCAAAAATACCCATCAGCTGTCTATCCTGACTTCACTCTCTTCTCTGCTGTGTCTGGCAGGGCCCTGGTTTATTTTTCAAGGACTGAGACACTCTTCCGGTCACCTCTCTCCACTCTCAGTCCTGCCCGACACATCCTTAGTTATCCTTCAGATCGCCGTTTAAAGGTCATTTCCACCAGGCCAGGGGGTCTTGCCAAATATCACCATAGCTCAGCAGCCTGTGACGAGGGGTTGGTGCCCCTTCCCTCGTCTGTCTTCCCCTCCAGACTGGGTGCTCTAGAAGATAGAGTTTTGTTAACCGCTGCTTCCCCAGGGCCTAGCACAAGGCCCCGTTGGTTTGTTGAATGACTGAAGGATATGGTTGATCTCAGCCAGGTGCAATACCTTTTATCTTCAGGGTCTCTTAATTCTTCTTCAGGGATTCGCATACTCTTTAAAAGCAAATTCTTCTTTCCTCCACTGTTCCCTTGATAACAGTTCAGTTTATAACATTTAATCAGCCGCCCTCTGCTAAGATGCTTTGCTGATAAAGTAGGTTAGGCCACTCCTTTTAGGGATGGGAACCATTTCGGGGCTGTTTGCTCCTAGGAGTCTGGGTCAGCTCCAGGATATCATCGCCCGCTGGGAGAGAGCTGGGCATATCCAGGCTCCCTCCTAGGGTCCCCCTTCTTCTGAAGTGGACCAGCAGGAATCACTGAGGCTTGGGAAGCCTAAGCCAAGACCCAGGGAATCCCTGGGTCTCACGTGTCAGAAGCTCTGTCCACTAGCCTTGATCTGGGCCTCAGTCCTTAAACCCCAATCCCATTCCTGAAACTGAACCCCACACGTGGATCTTGTCTTTCTCTCTCCAGCTAACTGTAACCCTTCGTCGTCTCAACGCAATTGCTCCCATCACACCACCTGTACCACCTCTAAGCTCCACCACTCTTGTCGTCCAAGCCAGGGCCTCACCTGGGGGTCCTCCAACCCCAAACCTTCGCTGAGAGCTGGTGGAAGGGCAGCAGCTGCTGGGGCTCCCCGACTTCTCTGTGATTGTGTGTGCCCTGTGCCTCTGTCTGTCCTCTCTAAGCATGGCATTGTCAATCCCATGGCCCTCCTACTCCCAGACCATTTCCTCTGAGGTTTTCTCTACATGGCCACTCCAAGGGCTGCTTCTCACTCCATGGATGTTGCAGGGGTGAGCCTGGGTCTACAGGGGGACTTGGGAGAGGGGCTCGGGAGCCTGCTGACTCTGTGTGTGAGGGCTTAGAAAGGGTCAAGCTGCAGATCCGGGGCCCTGGAGGGGAAATGGGGAGCTTGAACCTGAGCCTGGGAGGCCTGGGGAGAGGGGTTGGGGGTAGGTCCAGGCAGGTGAGGGGAGAGCCTACAGGCGTTGTGCAGAGTTGCTGTGAAGGGCACTTTGGAGGAAGAGTAGACGGGCCACATCCCTGGCCTGTCCCTCCCTGCGATGTTATGGGGTTGGGCTGTACCTCCTCTCAGAAGCAATCTCTGGTCTTCTCTGGGTCCTTATCTCACCTCTTCTCTCTGCTTCTGTACCTCTGTTCACTCCTTTCCAAGCTTCTGTCTTTGTGTTTCTGCTTCTGCCTTAGAACAGAAGCTAATACAACCCAATCTTGGGGGGGTATGCAGAAAAGAGGGGCCATTCTGCCCCCCCCCCCCCGGGGAGCTATGGATTACTCAGGGAAAAGCAAGGGGCCCTTTTGGAAATTGGTGTGCTGGGACCCTGACTGTAGCCTGGGCCCTCTGCCTCCTGTCTCTCTCTCAGCCTCTCGTTGGGCCATTCGGATGGCACATGTGTTTCTCTGCTCCTTTTCTAACCACTGCCTCTCCCAATCTCTTTCTCCCTGGGGGCACAGAGGCAATCCCAATAGTCTCCGAGATCTGTCCAGACCTTTATGGGACCTGAAAAGGAAGTGGATGGGGCAATGGGATGTTTGGGGCTGAGACTGGTGGGGAAGAAGAGAGGGAGGAGTTGGGGGCGGTGGCCTCCCAGGAATGGGCCCTTTTCCTCTGCTGAGGATGAAGCCCACAGAGTAATGTGAGTTGTGGGCTGGTCCCAGGGGAGGGGCCATGGGCTGGACTTGTGCTATGAAAACTGAGCTGATGCCCCAGTGCCCTCACTCCAACACTGCCCCCTCAAAACCCTTGCAAGGGTCAGGGCACAGGGCAGGAATGCTGACAGTTTCTTTAACGGGCCCCAGATTGCAAGGAGGTGGCACTTAGACGTAGGTGGATCAAAGGAGAGCAACAACGTGCCCTGCCTTTTGAGGCTTCGAGGGGTCCCTGTATGGAGCCCTCAAAAATGGCTGTTCTTCCGAGAGCATCTAGGCCCTCAGTCTTCCCCAACTCCCGTCTCCTAGACTCCAAAACCAGGACTCCCCTCCTCCCTAGTAAAACTGCCTCTGATGGACCCCATCTTCCAATTCAATTTGGTGTCAGAGCCCCACTCACTGCTGTACGTTCCTGCATCCCCTCCCCAAATATCCTTCTGGGAGCTTGACCAGGTGGTGAGCTTAGGTCGTGGAGCAGAATTTCAGAGGTTCCATTTGTTGTGGGATTCAGTTGCTTCATACCTCTGAGATGGGCTCATGTGTATCTGGAACTCTTGCCAAAATCTTGGGACTCCAATCAACATGTGCCATTGGTATTCTCCCAGAGCAAAGGGATGAAAATTCTAACCAAACTTCGATTTAGTGAACGGAGGCTAAGGTCTTTCTATATCATAAATAAAACCTAAGTTTTGATCCCCATGAATCCTCTGTCCATAAAACTTTAACCCAAGTTCTAACCCTAACCACAGCCTATTCTAACTCAAATCCCAAACTAAAGTCTAACACAGTTATAAATCCAATCCTAAATCAATCTCCCCAGCCTTCAGTTTAGCTCTAAATGTATTCCCAGGAAAAACTCGCAATGAAGCTAAAACACTATTCCTTATCATAACAGGAATCCCAGCCATAAACCGTAGCCTCAGTTCTAGCGGTTGTTCTAGGCTTAATCTCAGTGTTAACTCTCGTCCCAACCTCAAATCTGACCTCAACCTCACGCATCATTCCACCTAACTAATCCCAACCTTAATCCCAGCTCCAGGCTTCACTCCAACTCTAACATCAGCTAAAATCCAGAACCCAGTTAAACTCCAGCCTTATACTTCAGAGTAATGGAACCACGAACTCACTCCTCTCTTTTCAGACTCCCTCTTCCTGGTCCCACCTGTTCACCCCTCCACCCATCACTGACTTTCCCCATGGGTGGGTCTGGTAACACACAGGGTCACCATGCCCTTTTCCTGGTGTACTCTGGATTGAGAGTCAGGACGCCTGCATACCCCCCACTTAGGCCCCAGCAGCATCACCTGTGCTGAATCCTCATGTTTCTCCAGGCTTCTGTTTCCCCATCTGTGAAGTGGGGATAATGATCCCTGCTCTCCAGAGTGCGCAGGGCAGCCCCATAATCCTCAAAATAAATTAGGAAATAAGGATCTTCATTGTGTACATTTTGTGGGTCCCAGAGCACCCTGTTATTGTTGGGAGTGCAGCTGGGGGGCTGGAATGCAGAGATGCACGGAGTCCTTGTGCTTCCTTATTGTTCTGTCTTATTTTTCCCCGGGGGTGGGCCCTGGCAGCATCCTGAGCCCCCCCACCCTTCTTGTGCATCTGTCTGCGACGAGGGCAGGCCCTTGATTCCTTTGAGAGGGCTGAGCTGTTGAACAAGGCAACTCATGACCAGACCCCTACCACTGTTTACGGGGCAGTCCTGGAATCCAGGGGAGGCCCAAGGCCTGTTCTGGGACCCCCTGGACCAATGAGCAAGGGCTGGCCCTCCATCTTCTCCCTCTGCCCAGCAGGACCTCCCCACCCCAGCTCCAACCTGCCCAGAACTGTGATGGCTTAGTCACCTGATACCAGTCCAGGTTATGAGGTTCTTGGTTTCCCTTCCTGTGCATAGAAGCCAGGGCACCAAGCGATTCCTAAAAGAGGGGCACGTAGAGGGGCTTGGCGTTCCTCAACAAAGATGCAAGGACACATCCTGGTGAGGGGGTATACGGGCACTCAGGCACACCCCTTTCCTGGCCCTCCTGGCGCTATTCTCCTAGCAGCCCTTCACCCACCTGTCCACTCACCTCACTCACTCCACACACCCTGGGCCCTCTCCTCTCAGGCCTCACTGAACTGGTTTTAGATCTGTGTGGGAGATGGGGGTGTGGATCCCCTGTAACACCCCCAGATCCCAGGGATTCCCTGCACCTGGAGGTGACCTCACGTCACGTATGGGTGGGGGGCACAGCTCCAGAGGGGGCAGCCAGGGGAAGACCCTGTTCCCCTACACACCCCTTCCTTCCTTCTTTCAGATCAGGAGGCCTGACTCCCTTTGAAGTCTTGGGGCCCTTTCATCATCCGGGACCTCCCTTCCAGCCCCAGTGACCCCTTCCCTGGTGCCCTTTCCCACAGACTTTGACCTGGGTGGGAGGGGGTCTGGAGGGTCAGGGATAGGAGGAGGGGACCGCAGTTTGAAATGCTGGAGCCTGCGCTGGGCAGGCATGTCAGACACCAGTGTCCTGGGGTCAGTGTGAGCCCTTCAAGGCCTGACCACCCTTCTATCCCCAGCTTGGCTTCTCCTTCCTCTTCTCCATTTCCCCTGGGGAAGGAGGCAGTAAATGTGTGGTGAGGGGAGCCCCGTGGACACTGTAAAATTGGGCAACTGTCGTCACCCTGAGGCTGGGGCCAGGAGGAAGTGGATGTTTAACAGGTGCCTAGTTACATGTCCCGTTGGCTGTCTTGCACTACTGTCAGCATAGGGAAGAGTGTGGGGAGGGCTGGGTAACTCCTGTGTAAGCCACTGTGTCACCCTGCTAATTAGGGCTCCTGGGACTCCTCCCCAAGGCGGGGACCAGGCCCCCCCCCCCCATAGTAATAACTGGCCGCTCCCCAGCCGGGCCCTCACTGCACCTTCCTGCCACTCCGGGTAGCATCTGGGCCCTCAGCTCTCCCTCGTCTACTGGTCCCTACAACACCCCTGGCCCCAGGGATCCCAGCCCAGGAGGACGAAACGCTGAGCCTAGAGACATGAGAGTCCATGGAGCATTCCACCTTCTGCTCGTGTGCCTGAGCCCAGGTATGGGGCTGGGGAGTGGCAGGGGGGGCCTGCATGATGCCGGATGGGCAGGAAAAGGGCAGCGAAGGGCTCACAGAGGAACCTGGAAGGTGGACTGAGATGTCTTCTCACCCTCGCCCTGCTGCTACCGGGGTTTGTCTGTTGTCAAGGGGGCCTCTCCCCAGGAGAGCCCTGCACCTGAAGGTTTGGGGCATGTGTTCTTGTATGGTTCTTCACGGTGTCTGTGAACATGTGGGGCTCATACGTGTACGCACATGTTGTGAATGGGAGCATAGGGCTCGCCCAGAGTTACTGGGGGATCTGGGGGTGGGGTAGGAGGGGCAGGTGAGCAGCAAAGCTGGCTGGGGGTTGAGGAAGAGCCTGGGAAAGATTCCCTTTCCATGGGTCTCTGTGCTTCCAGCAGGAGGGCCTCTCCCCCAACCCTGCTTGCCTTGAGAGGGCAGAGCCTCAGGCTGGTGGAGTGTGAGTGGGCCAGGGAGAGCCGGGGCCTGAGACCTCTGCTCAGGGCCCCTGTGCTGTGAGAGTTCCAGGGTAGCACCCACCCCCTCTCGAATAAGCCTGGGAGGGTGTGGAGGGTAACTCCCAGAGCCCCCTCCCTGGGGCACGTCTGGAGGGCAGGGCTCAGGATTGGATATCATGGCTGCCTGCCTGGGATGGGGCAAGTCCCAGCAAGGGCCCATCTGGGTGGGCATTGCTGGAAATGGCTCTGAGACCCTCCTGGGGGTCTGGGTTCAGGCTAAAGGGGCCTGGGGGAGGAGCTCAGGAAGGGAGGAGCATTTTCAGCCTTGGTGTGAGAGTACGAGTATGTGTGAATGACTGCATTTCTAGCAGGATGCCTGCAACACCCTCTCTGTCTGGCAAGAGCTGGCCGGGCAGAGCTCACTCAGGAGCTGTGCTGTGGGGACCTGGGACATCTCTGTGTATAGTGTGTCTTAATGTTATAATGCACCAATCCCTTCTGTGGGAGCCACCTTTTCTCCCCTCCCTTTTCTTCCCCTCCCTTCTCTTCCCCTCCCTCATCTGCAGAGGGAGGGTTAGGAGCTCTGGAGGAAGCTGAAAAATTCACAAAGGACTTACAAACTTAGAGTAGACATGACTATTGAGGTGTCTCCTCTTCCCCGGCGAGCCTGTTGTGATTTCCTTCCCTCCCTCCGAGTCTCTACGCCCACCTCTCTCTCCCACTCTGGTCTTCTTCCCTCCCTCCAGCCTCTCTCTTCTCTCACATGCCCTGGAAATACTTCCTCAGTGCCACAGCAAGAGGAATGAAGGTGAGACACCAGGGACGACTTCCTCAGGAGAGCGAGGGGTGCAGAAAGGCTGGAACCCTTGGCAGGAGGTTGAGAAAGCTTTTAGGGAGTCGGAAAGGCTAGGGTGAGGCTCCCTGGCCTGGGACAAGGGCAGACACTCTGCCTAGTGCAGGGTGGAGGCACCCTCTTCCAGCCTGTCCTTCCTTCTCAAGCCCCCTTCCCGGAATACTTACCTTCCTGTCCGGCTGGCTCCCAGGGCATGGAGACCATTCTCTTGTTGTGGGTTGCTTTCGGCAGTCCTTCCCCAGGGTGGGGCCTCTGCTCTCTGCTGAGCTCTGGCTCATTCGTGGTTTGCCTTGTGACAGCCCAGGACCTGGCAGATGGCATCAGGATCCTTATCTCAGGAGTGGGCTGGTGTTAGCTTGGCCTGGCGCTGGAGGAGGCATCACCAGGTCCCGTTAAAGCCCCCAGCAGCTAGCCTGCCTGCTCTGGGTTAACCTGGAGCCTAGCGGGGGTTAGGACATGGCTGACGGCCCAGCCAGGATTCCGAGGGGCAGGTTCAGTGATGCCTGAGTTGTTAGGGGTGTTGAAAGGGTGCCTGCTGGCTCTCTAGAACCAGACTAAGCTTCTGCAGGTATGTCTGGTCTTGCATGAATACACATGCGGGGCTCTAAGTGTGCACAGCGGGTGTGTCTTCTGGATTAATGCGCACTTGTGTTTGTGTGTAGATGTGTGTCTGTATGGATTCGACAGTGTGTGTGTGTGTGAGAAGGTGGGACTGCATAGGTAGGTATCTGCATTTTGAAGGCTTATAAGAGTGTGTCTATGTGTTGATCTCTTTGGCTGTGACAGTGTGCAACTGTGTGTGTGAGATGCTCTCCAAGTGTGAAGGTGGTCCCAGGAGAGAGCCAGAGAAGGGCAGAGCACGATGAGTTGCTGAGACCAAGGGCTGGGGCTCCAAAGGACTTGCTGCCTCTCACAGGAGGAGAGTGAGCCAGGCTGGGGGAGGGGCCGGCAGAGGGAGGATTGCAGGAGGCTGGGAGGTGGCATGCTGCCGGCCCAGCCAGGGTTGGGGCCCTGGGCACACCTCCACCTTCATATTCCTCTCTGGGTCCAACCGGTTGGGGCTAGCACTTGCCTGGGGCTTCAGGTTAGGGAGGGAGAGATCACTCCTGAGCTTCCAGATCCTGGCTCTTCATCCCAGGCTGACTCAGTGCGACTGAGGCTGGCAGTAGCGGGAGGGGCCCCAACTGGAGCGAGCACGTGGAGGTGGCCACACGATCACACAAGGGGAAGGACGCAAAGCGCACAATGCCACACGCCTTCACGCGAGGCTCACCAGTCCTACAGATGCGTGTGGCCATGGTCCCAGCACCATCGTTCACTATCACACACAGACCCAGCTAGGCTCCCGGTCACAGTCACGCACAGGCACGCACTATCACTCAGAGCACTTACACAGCCAGGCACTCACTGTCACACGGGCATACAGCCAGAGACACACGCTGTCATACACAGACACACAGAGACATACGCATTCTCCTGCTCCTTGGGCTGGAAAGGGACTCCAGGGGCCACGGTGTCCATCCTCCTGCCTCTAGACACGATCACCTCACTTGGCCCAGACAGAGGTGGCTTTTAACCAACGAGCCTCTTCCATCAGAGCACTTAACAACTCTATGTGCTCCATGTGCCTGTACACACACACACACACGCACACACACACGCACACACATGCACACACATGCGCTGTCACGTAAATATATAAGCAGACACTCTACCTGGTCATGTGTGTGAATCTCCCTACAGTACACATAAGCAGCCACAAACACTCGTAAACATGCAACGTACATATGTGTATACACCCATACATGGATACACAATCGTGCAAACATACAAGCATTCTTTTTTTTTTTTAAGATTTTTTTGATGTGGACTGTTTTTAAAGTCTTTATTGAATTTGTTACAATATCACTCTGTTTTATGTTTATGTCACGGTTCCTTGGCCGCGAGACACGTGGGATCTCAGCTCCCCGACCAGGGATCAAACCCGAACCCAATGCATTGAAAGGCGAAGTCTTAACCACTGGACCACCAGGGAAGTCCCCCATACAAGCATTCTTAACAGCTATATATATATACAAACTGTATAGATGCAACCCTACACAATCGTACAATAGAGACATGCTTACACAAGTCTGCATAGACATGCGTCTATCAATTCACGCACACACCTATGCACACGCTCAGAGCAGCCCCTCCTCGTTGTGGAACCCTCACTGAGCCCTGGGTCGCCACTGACAGGAATGGTGGAGGGAGGGGGGCTGAAGCTGGCCACCCAAGCCCTGGTCCTGCTCCCCTTACCCCATCTGCCCTGCCTGTGTCCTAGCACTGCTGCCCGCTGTGCGGATCGGTGGGAATGCAAAAGAAGTCCTGAACCTGGCAGAAGGTGACAGCGTGAGACTGAACTGCCCCTACATCCTGGACCCTGAGGACTCTGGTTCTGATGCGCTGGGCATTGAGTGGATGCAGGTCAACCCAGAACCCTCACGTCGGGAGAAAGTGGTAGGTGCTGGGCACAGGATTCCCCTTACTCTACACTTCATGGCGTCTACCTGTTGGGCAGCCAGCACCCTGAGGGGAAAAGCAGGGCAGATAAGAAAACCGAGGCCTTGAACTTCCCCCAAGACTTCTCAGAGAATGAGGGAACAGGGAGGAGCTCTGTAATCACCGATCAAGTCAGCCAGTGAGTCAGCTTCCTCCCACCCCACTCCAAAGGGAAGACGAGGCACTGTCCTGGCCCAGACAATGTACTTCCAGCTCCGATGATAGTCTTTGATTTTGAGTACCAGTCAGCTGCTCTGTGTGCCAGCAGCTTTATACATCTCATCCCATTTAATCCTCACAGGCCCCTGGAAGGTAGACGTTAGGCAGAGAGTGCTTGATCTCATCTGATCTCACACATTCTGTTAAAAGTCAGTGGATCAGGCATCATTGTTCCCATTTTTCAGCTGAGAAAGCGGAGTCTCAGAAAAGTTCAGTGCATTGCCCAAGACAGCCAAACCACAGGGCCTTCCTTGCCTCTCCCTGTCTCACCATCTCTGTTTTCTTCTCTTCACAGTTCCTTAGTTACGGGGACAAGAGGGCCAACCATGGCGACCTCCCCGATCTGCAGCAGAGGGTCCACTTTGCAGCCCCAGATCCCAGCCAGTACGATGCCTCTATCAACCTCTCGAACCTGCAGATATCCGACTCAGCTACCTATGAGTGCCGGGTGAAGAAGACCACCGTGGCCACCCGGACGGTCATCATCACTGTCACAGGTATGACCAAACTCCTCTGAGCTCCTCTTCCCCAGACGTCAGAGCCAAGGGCGGCTTGGCCACCCTGAGCCTGGCTCTGCCTCTTGGCTGGACCCTGGCTCACAACTGCCCCCTCCCCTGCAGCACGGCCTGTGGGGCCCAAGTGCTGGTTTGAGGGCCACATGTCATATGGCCATGACGTGGTGCTGAAGTGCTTCGTCAGTGGGGGCAGCCCGCCTTTCACCTACAAGTGGAACAGGATCAGGGGGAGCGCCCACCCCTACCGTGCCAGTTCCTACCAGTCCCAGGACACCTTCCAGTCTGAGTTCTCCTACGACGAGTCCTTCAGCTCCATAAGTCAAGGTGAGGGGACCCGGGGAGAGGGGAAGATTGGGACGCTGGGTCCCGCTGGGGCTTCCCTGGTTCATCAGTGGCGCCAAGTCAAACATAAAACCGCTGTGGGAGACCCCTCCTGTGAGCCTGTGCCAGAAGCTGCTATGGAGGGAAGAGGAGGCAAAAGGGGAGAGTCCGTTGAAAGCAGTATGGTTAATTTGGAAAGAGCATGGTCTGAGGTAGAGCTGGGCTTGAATCCTGGCTGGACCATAACTGGCTACAAGACCCAGGCAAGTGGCTTCACCTCTCTGTGCCTTAGTTTCATTCTACAGTATATGAAAAGGGAATGATAATGTCTATCTTCCAGGGGCAGGTACGGATTAAATGGATGAGGTGTATAAAGCTTCTGGCACAGGCAGAAGCTGCCTAGTACTCACAATCAAAGACTAGCAGAGCTGGAAGAGACCTTAGACTTCCTCTGGTGTAACCCTGTACTCGCTGTACAAATGAGGAGACCAGGGCTCAGGGAGGGGACATATTTCCCTAAGGTCACAGAGTGAATTCATGGTTTCTCTCCTGTTGCTGGGAAAGGGTCCCTTCCTTGCCTCTCTGTTTCAGCAGGGAGAAGGTGACTCACCTGGAGAGTGGGGTGGACCTGTGTGTGTGCGCACACCCTTTCCTCCTTCCATGCCCCACCCTGCAGTGGTCTAGGCTGGGGTGAAGCTCTCAGAGACCAGGCCCCTCGGACTCACCATAGCTCTCTGATGCTCCTTCAGTTTCAGGCATGAGCCACGGTGAGCTGGTGTTGGTGCATCTCTCCCACAAGGATGATGGGCTGTACCAGTGCACAGTGGCCAACCATGCAGGCCACAGCGTATGTGTGGTGGAGGTGAAGGTCTCAGGTGGGTGCAGGGGCAGTGGCCCTGGAGGCCCCGTGGCTGGGAGGGTTGGACTGGAGAAACTTGTGCTGTATATTGGAGCCTCAGCTGGCTCTGCCTTCCCACTGCCATCAGTGCATAGCTCTGCCAGGGGCAGCTGGGAAGCCCTAGGAAAAACATGCAGACATGAGGGGTTAACTTGCATCTCTCCATATATTCCTCCCTGTGTGTCCAGGGACCCTGAGATCCCCTGGGTCCCCCATCCTCTTTCCCACAGACACCCTGCCCCTGCAACTCCTGGTTAGCCAGGCATCTGTCAGTCTGCAGAAAGCCTGACTAATCTTTATTTCTCTCCCCAGGAGTCGCGCACATAGGAATACTCATTGGCATAGTGCTGGGCTGTTTACTCTTGCTGGGCTGCCTGATGTTGGGCATCTGGGGGCTCGTCCGCTGCTGCTGCAGAGGGCCCCGCGGTGCCTTCTGCTGCCGTAGCCAGGTCCGCAGAAATGCCTGCTGCGACTTGCCTAATGATATCAGGTAAAATCTGATGCCTGTTGCTGTGCTGCAGGGGGCTGGCGCCCTGCCCCTTCTCACCCCTGCCTGCCACCGGCTGGCTGGGATCCCCACCCCAACCCTGCCTGCCATCGCCATGGAGTGCTGGGACCCCAGCATGTTGACCGGCCACTCGTCGTATGTTTTTTCTCTCTCCCCCTTCCCATGTCCAGTCTTCACTTCTGCTTCCCTGCCCTCCATCTCCCTCCCGTCTTTGCACCTGTCTGTCTGTCTTATCTAGACTGTAAGCTCCTGCAGGGCAGGGCCTGTATGTATTTTCTCACTTTTCCCCTGTATTGCACCGGTGAGAACTCTTGGACATGCTTACTTAAGAAGAGTTAAGTAATATAAATAATAGCGCTAATAACTTATATTAGAAACAAACTAGAAATAAAAATAGAACAAGACTAGCAGTGCTAATGATTGCAATGCCCTGGGTATGGAGGAAAAGAGGGAGAAGATTAAGAGGCAGGTGAGGAGAAGGGGGGTGGGCAAGGTCAAGGTTAGTTAAGGAAAGGACAGGGAAAGCAGCTCCTTCTGGATCTCCAAGGTGACCTCTCTATCCGAGCCGGTGGTCCTGCGAAAAGCTCAGAAGGGGAGTGGAGGGCGCCTGGATGGGGCTGCCTGCCTACCGTGGGCTGTCCGGACACGTGTGGACAAGCCCTGTCTGGAGGGTGGGGATGGTGCCCCCGGGAGTCCTGCGGGGTCGCTGGCCCAGGAAGAGGCAGAGAAAAGAGTAGGTCGAGGCTGAGGTTGAGAGGCGAGGGCAGGCGGAGGGAGGCGCGGGAGAGGAGAGGTTGCCAAGAGCCCCTGGCTCTGCCCAGGCCGTGCCCACGCCGCGCGGCGGAGGAGCCCGCTCACCCGCGCGCCTGCTGTTTTCCACAGAGAGGACGACGTGGCGCCCGGGTGCAAGGCCAAAAGGCGCGGCAGCAGCGTTACCCACATCTTGGGGTACCCGATGCAGAAGATCAGGCACTCTCTGAGCCTCAAATACGCGCCTCCTCACTGCGAAGGCTCCGAGGACTTGGCCCTGGCGTCCAGCGCCGCCGCCGCCGCTCTAGACTGCAAAGCGGACCAGTCCCGGGTCTACGTCAAGGTCCAGAGTGCAGAGCCAGCCGCCTGCGCCGCCGAGGGGCCGCTGCCGTGCAAGGATGGCCTCCTGGTGTGAGCGCGCGGCGCCCGGCTCCTGCCCGGCCAGGGGGAGGGTGCGGGCTCTTTGCCTGCACCTGGGGACGCGCTCGGGCCGGCGCCGACCTCGCCTGCCTAGGGCCGCCTGGCGGCAGGGGGCCTGGAAGAGTTTCCCTCGGGAGCGGAGTTGGGCGGCTGCGCCTCCTCCCCTAAAGTGGGAGGGGGAGGGGGAGGGAATAGAGACCATCTCGGCCCTCTCCGCATCCCCGCGGCCCTGAGGCTCGGGCAGAGGGAGGGAGGAGGAAGTGTCCGAGAGCGCTGGAGGCCGGAGACCAGGTGTCCCCAGCCAAGGCAGAGAGACCCGGGGGCCGGGTGGGTGGGGGTCTGGACTGAACTGTGCGTGTGAGGCCTGAGCTCCGAGGCGGCAGTGTTAGCACAATAAAGAAAATGTAAGACTCGAGACTGAGGTGACTGTGGTTCCACGGAGGGTTGGGCATGGGGTCAGGGTGGTGGGCCCTGCTCAGGGATGTGGGGGGGCGTTGCTCCCTCTGTCGTCCCGCATCATTTCTGCACCATTTCCCCCCTCCCCCTCCTTAGATCGGGAACAGTTAGAGCTGGAAGGGGCCGTCTAATCCTATTCCTTCCCTATGCAGATGGGGAAACTGAGACTCCTCAGGCTTGATTTTAAATCCAGAATCCCACTTTTCTCTTTTATTCCAGAAATCAAAAGAAAGGAAACAAGGTACTGGCAGGGATGACCTCTCTGAATATTCCCTGACCATTCTCAGCATCGTCCTTCCTTCTCTCCTTACCTACGAAATCTTGACTTCCTTATCTCTCCCAGATGTATGCCGTCCTTCTCAAAAACCGGGAAGGGTTTCAGAGTCATACTCTGGGGGTAGAAAGACCAAATCCATCTAACCTAGTCCCTTTTTTAATGGAAGGGAGATTGACATTTATTGGGTACCCTCTGAATTCCAGGTACTTTCCCATATTTTGTCTAATTTAATCCTTACTTTAATCCTGTGAGGTGCAGTATCCATTATACAGATGAAGAAACTGAGGCTCAGAGGATCTAGTTATCTTAACCAAGGCCACAAATGTAATAACAGGTTTTGATCCAGGCATGTCTGACTCTGGGACATCAGGCTTTTTCTTTGACATTTGGATTCCTTCTACTGCATGCCTGACAAAAGATATTTTCTTGACAAAAGACCTCTTCTTGAATACCTGCAGTGGCATCTCACTACCTCCCAAAGCAGTCCATTTGGGTCAGAGATATATCCATATTCCTCCTTTTCAACCCAATTTTGGACCCCACATAGTTTTTATCCCTTGGTCCAAGTTCTACTCTTAGGGAGCCCTAAGCGTCACATTTCCAATTCAGCTGCCTCTAGTGGACCAAGTGGCTGTATTCCATACAGGATGACTGCAACAGGCAAAAAAATGGACCGATGCCTAGTCTAGGGGTTGAGGGTCTTCTGAAGAGCATAGTACTTGAAGGTCACTCTGTTCTACCTGCCTCTGCCCTGTTGCCATCTGCCTGTTGAGAGCCCAGGCATTTCCTTTTCTTTTTGCCTCTTCTTCTCTTGAGGAGAAGCCGGGCTTCCTAATTCTTTCTGCTTCTACCCTGTGGCCAGGTGAAGTGTGGGGTATGGATGGACCTCAGAGTTTGTTGACAGAGGAAGCCCCCAAACCATGCTTGGTTGTACATAACTAGGAAACCCTTCTGGTTGGCTTGGTTATTTGCAAAAGCGTGATGGCATCTCTGGTTCTGCCTTGATAGAGCTTGGGAAGAGAAAGTGGAGATGATGATGGGACAGAGGGAGCCAGGAACAAACGTCTTGGAGTGAGGGCGGGGAGGTGGGGATTATTGAGGATGGATGGGGATACAGCGGGTAAAGGGATTAAGCAGTGAGGGGAACAGAACTGCAGGAACCATCCATCCCCTCATTTATTTGGAAACATTTATGAGCACCTATAGGATGATTTGTTCGTAAATAGTTAGAGCTTTTGGGCTTCCCTGGTGGCGCAGTGGTTGAGAGTCCACCTGCTGATGCAGGGGACCTGGGTTCGTGCCCCGATCTGGGAAGATCCCACATACCGCGGAGCGGCTGGGCCCGTGAGCCATGGCCGCTGGGCCTGCGCATCCAGAGCCTGTGCCCTGCAACTGGAGAAGCCACAATAGTGAGAGGCCCGCGTACCGCAAAAAAAAAAAAAAAAAAAAATAGTTAGAGCTTCAAGCAGGGCGCTGGGCCTGGCACACTTTTGCCCTAAGGCAGGGGATTGAATAGGGTGACTTGGGGAGGGCTCTCCCAGTCTGAGGAGCCTCCAGCTCAGCTTTCTGCAAGGAGGTGAGGGACAGAGTCAGTCAGCTGTACAGGTTGTGTTGAATGACATCATCTTCCCCATTCTAGCAACCAGGGAGCTGGGCTCAGACTTAGCCTTCCTTTGAAAGGTGAGAACAGCGAGGCTCTGGCAAGAAAAGCTCATTAAAGAGCCGTAAGAGATTTTAGAGAGACTCTGCAAACAACTTTTGGCAGGGTGACTCAACAGAGAAGCCAGGGGAGTTCCCGAATCCCTAAATAAATTATCACTGCACTTATCACCTCTGGGTGAGGAGGGAGGGAAGTTTCTGCTTCTAAGGTTTTGCTTCAGGGACACCTTGACCTTTTTTCATTTCTCCTGCGTGAAATCTTGTCAGTGTTAGAGGAGAACAATTTCTGGTGGTAAATGTTTACCAGTGGCTTTGGGAGCGAGGTTGAGGGTATAGGGGGCTGGGAAGCCCTGATGTGTATCATGTGCTATTTCCCTGAATAAAATTCTCCTATCATGGCTGCTTTCAGGCTACCAGCATGATGTCCTGGTGTGGAATCGTGAGAAATGTGCAGTAACACACCATCCCTGCCGAAGTAAATAACCTCAAGACCTGAGACAATCATGAACTATAGAAACTAATTAGGAAGGGATGAATTTTGAGTACTTATCTCCTGTGTCTCAGAAGAATTCACTTAATTGTAAATTGATATAGTTTAAATTTTAATAATGGCAGCATTTAATGATTGGCTTGCAAAACTTAGGCAGACCACGTCCCCAGGCAGGCAGAAGGCTGTGTACACAAATGTTGCTTCAAGAGAGGGAATCTTGGGGCTTCCCTGGTGGCGCAGTGGTTAAGAATCCACCTACCAATGCAGGGGACACGGGTTCGAGCCCTGGTCAGGGAAGATCCCACCTGCCGCGGAGCAACCAAGCCCGTGCGCCACAATTACTGAGCCTGTGCTCTAGAGCCCACAAGCCACAACTACTAAGCCCACAAGCCACAACTACTGAGCCCACATGCCACAGCTACTGAAGCCTGCACGCCTAGAGCCCATGCTCCGCAACGAGAGAAGCCACTGCAATGAGAAGCCCGCACACTGCAACGAAGAGTAGCCCCAGCTCGCTGCAACTAGAGAAAACCTGCGCGCAGCAGCAAAGACCCAACACGGCCAAAAATAAATAAATAAATAGAGAGGGAATCTTAAGTTCAGTCTTGATTTTTCTCATTTTTCCAGAGAGACACAGACAGCACCAAGTCAGTTGTCTTCATCCCACTTCCTAGTTCTGCCTTTTTGTGTCCCAGCCTTGCGGAAACTGAATCCTAGTTCCTCTGGTCGATGAAAACTTATTCAGATAATTTATATGTCTTTGGTAACCATCAGAAACCTAACTTGGCATCCACAGAATTTCCGTGAATGGGTCTCCCGGGGCATCCAACCCTGGAAAATCTACTCAAGGGACATTCGGAGTCCTTCTTGACTCAGTTCCTTCTCTAATCCTCTTGCTTAGGTTTTAGGAAGTAATTCTCTAGTCATCTTCTCTTAAACCTGAAATTCTCAAGAGCATGACTGTATGGAATCCCGGTGATTTTTCTTCTGTGCTCCTAGTAGAATAACTATCCTTGCTGCCCTGTTACCTTTCAGTTACTCTAGGCCCAGTCACATTGTGTGACTCTGGGGAGGGATTAATTTTTTTTTTTTTTTCCATGCTTCACTAGAAACAAAGGAGTTTTGAGAATTCATTACCCAGAGTCACAACTTAAGCAGCAACCTGTCTGGAGGTTTATCCCTGTAGCCTCTGCTCCAAGGGAGCCTCAGGTGAGTCTCTGGAGTTTACGCTCTTTGTCTATCCAGCCCACCTGGAGGAATCATTTCATTTATTCCTGGTGTACGGGAACAAAATTGTCTCCATTCAGTTCCTTTCAGTTAGATGAGGAAAAACATGGCAAAGGGAAAGAACGTTGAGAGATGTGGAACTGTACAGGCAGGGAGATGGTGGAAAAGCATGGGCATGGTCTTTGTGCCTGCCAGTGAGAAGAGGACAACATAGTCTTCTGCCACCCTTCTGTGGCCATTGCCCTCAGCAGTCTTCCCAGGTGTATTTTATTTTATTTATTTTTTTTAATTTATATTTTTATTAATTTATTTTTTCCGGTTATATTTTAGAAGGACAGCAGGATGGGACACTGTTAAGGAGGAGACTGAAGCCCTTGACAAAGGCAGGTCATTGAGCAGAGGAGGATGGAGTGAAGCTTTCGAGCTCATTTTTATAGTGGCTGAGTTTGAGGTGATGGTGGGCCCATGCTGGGTGTCTTGGGGAGAAAAGAAGGAAAAGAGGGAGGAAGAAAACTTGTACTAAATATTTGTGATTTAGTCATGCCCACATATGCAAAAGAAAAGTCCTCAGTTTTGGATTCAGACAAACCTAGATTCCTTGTTATTATTAAGCTCCCAAAGCCTTAATTTCTTCATCTTTAAAATGGAATAGTAATAGGGCTGTTTTGTGTGACGTGCTTATTACAGAGCCTGGTACATAGTAGGGGCTCTGCGAATGGTTGATCCCAAGTCCCTAGTCTTCAATGTAATTTCATCTCCCAGAGGAGGGCAGGCCTGGAGGCAGAGATCTAACCACACAGGGGTGGGGGGTGGAGGCTGAGGCAGTGGGAGGTCCAAGGCAGGGAGGGAGTGAGGAGAATGAAGCCTTAGGATTGAATTTGGGGATGGCTCACCACCTGGGGGATGAGTCAAGCAGCCCAGGAAGCAGCAACTAGAAAAGTAGGAGAACCAGGCCTTGCTTCTGAATCCTGGGAGGCACGTGCATGTATTAATATTGATGACAGTCCTCTTTAGTAATGGTGATACTAATAATAACAGGAAGCACCTGAAACACAAGCTCGGCAGGGTCCGGAGCCAGGCATGAGGATGAGCTGCGAGAATTCTCAAGGCCCCTCCTTGGACCAGGGTGTGCCCACTGGGCCCAGTGCCCACTGCAGCACCCCATGGAGCACTGACCTGACAGCCCCTCCAGCAGGGTCTCCACACAGCTCTCCCAAAGCTGAGGAGAGACCCTCCCAGCTGAGGGCACAGAGATTTTCTTCAACGTTTTTGGGGGAATCAGTTCCACCTTGGAACTGAGCTCCTTCAGTGACGACAGGCCCCACTTGCTGCCTATCAGGCCCTACAGATGCCCTTGGTCAGGGCACCTCCCGTTCTTCTGCCTGGATGCCACCTGCAGCCTGTGGCCCCTCCCCTTCCTGCCCTGACTCGCCTGAACTTGCTCATCTCCTTGGCTCCGCAGATGCTGGGATTCAATTCAGCTCCCAACCCCGACTCCAGACCCAGCCCCCAGCGGGACTCAGTCCCTTGCTCAAGGCTGTTTTCCTTGCCTGTAACTCTCTCTCCCCCTCTCACATCCTCTTTCTCACCCAGCATCCGTTCTTCAGAAAGGTGGCCTGGCCGTATCCTGTTTCATGATTAGTCTCTACCCTGCTCCCAGATAAGGGGAAGTGGTGTTTACTTTGTGATCTTTGCCCTGTCCTGGGAATGTCCTGTCGTCCTCTTATATCCATCAGACTAGGCTTCCACTGAGGGCAGGGCTGTGTCACCTCTTTTCTCAACACCTACTCCCTTCGAGAGTTCAGAATCTCTTCATGAGCTGACCTTCCCTAAACTTAGTGTGATGGATAAAGATTGGACTAAATACTCCTCTCCTAACTTAGGGTGACAATAGCCAATACCCGTAATGACTTCAGTGGTACATGATGGACAAAGACACACATATCCCCCCAGGTGCCCCTGTTCCTTTGACTAGCAGGCTCCTTAGGAAGCTCTTTCCTGTATAGCATGAAGGCTTTCCATTTGGTATATTAAGGACTTGTGGAAATACCATCTTCTGATTACTGCCATTAAAAAACTGAGCAACAGGTTCTTGGTCAGGAGCCTAATCTGCTATGATAACATTGTTTCTGTGGGGAAATCGGATTCCTTCCTTTCAATACCCATCAGCTGTTCCAGGAATGGAACACTCAGTCAGAAAAAGTGAGGAATGAGGATGGGAATCATCTCCTACCTGGCCCCCCACCTTTCTATCTATCCACCCAGCTAAAATCGATATGCCCAAGGACCTCTGTTTAGTCCTGAATGGCTGAGGTTTTCCCTTCAATTACATGGCTTGTCCCTATACTTGTGCTCCTGAGTATATATAGTTATACCACACCCTAGGTTGTCTCTAGTTGTTGAATACATTGTACCCTCAAAGCTGCCTGTCCACTGATCTTTATATCAAATCTAAATGTAAGGCCAGTATAAGCTTGAGCTCATTGTTTGAAATTTAAATGTTAATAAAAAAAATTGGGCTTCCCTGGTGGTGCTGTGGTTGAGAGTCCGCCTGCCGATGCAGGGGACGCGGGTTCGTGCCCTGGTCCGGGAAGATCCCACGTGCCGTGGAGCGGCTGGGCCCGTGAGCCATGGCTGCTGAGCCTGTGCATCCGGAGCCTGTGCTCCACCATGGGAGAGGCCACTGCAGTGAGAGGCCTGCATACCGCAAAAAAAAAAAAAAAAAAAATAGTGTACCCCCAAATACATAAATAAGTAAATAAAATGGATATGCCTACAAAATCCGAATTTATGCACCCAGGCCAGGCCTCTCTCCCACATTGCACACTCCCATAACTGCTTCGATGTGTAACAGACACCTCAAACTCAGCAAACCCTGCCCCTGGTCTTCCCCAAAGCTACTGCCCCCACTGCCTTGCCCACTGCAGTTGATGGCCACTCTGTCCTTCTTTAATACCTTTCTTTCTCTCACCACTCTCCCCACAACATCCAATCTGTTAGGAAGTCCTGTTGGCTATACCTTGCTTAGATCCAGAATCTGAACATCCGCTCCTCCACCACTGTCACCTAATGGCTCCCAGCCACCATCATCTTTTGCATGGATTACAGCAGCAGTGTCTCAACGGATCTCCCTGTTTCCTCCCTTGTTCACCTACACTTTGTCTCAACAGAGAAGCCGGGGTGATATAGAATCTCCCAACCGGAGACTTTTGGCTTCCTCACTGAGGGGATGTCTGAACCATGGTCACGTGTCTTCCACCTCTATGTCCCCAACTTCTGCATCAACCATTTAGTTCACAAGTATGTTTGGCGATGCACTTCCTGCGTGTCTGTGGTAGGACTGCAGGATTAAACCTGATCCTTCCAGGAGCTCCCAGCCTCCCTAGGGAGCCCATTAATCCATTTGGAAAAATTAAAGAATGATTCGCATGACTGCTGATTCAGCTTCATGCAAGGCTAGGAGAGGTGATGCTATGAGATTCCTTGAGGGAAGTCTTCTGGGAGGAGGAGTGCCTAGGGTTGGGCTTTGAAAATTTGATTGGAGAACAAGGTGGATAAAGAGTATATTTTAGGCTAAGAGGTAGGGGAAGAGCCTGCAAAAAGGGGCAAAGTGCATGAGCTTGTTAGGTTCAGGGACAGACAAAATCTGGGCCTGTCTGGAATGGAGGGTGTGAGATGGGGCTGCTAATTGCTGAGTCACCTCCATCTTAAGGCCTCCCAGGGTGGGGTTGGGAGAGAGGGGAGGTGAGGTGTGTGTGTCAGCTGGTATGCTCCCCACTAAGGGGTAGGGGTGAGCGTGAAGGGAGGTGTGTCCTTCTCCACGGTCCAGTCTGAGGGCCCTTATTTCTTTCACTGAAAGTGACCATGAAGCCTCATCTTTCCGGAACTCCAACTTCCTCTCCATCTTCCCGGGACTTACCTGACCCTCCTCTTCTCTTTAGCGTAAGGGACTCAGATGACTCAGTCCTCCAGAAATGAGGCTGTGCTCTGAGGGCAGCCTTTAAGCTATGTTGGTCCCCGAGGCAAAGAGGGAACTTGGTGATGGGATGTTTGGGTGTCCCTCAAACCGGGTGCTTGGACTGTCTCACAGGAGGCTGTGTGTCAGTGGAGAGGATGTTCACTGCAGTCAGTGATGGCTAGATGACCACAGCTTCAAGGGATGGGACACAGAAGACCACTAGTACACTCCTCTGCTGGCCTGAGAACACCGCCACCCCAAGGCCCTGATTCATGCTGCCTCACTGCCTCTGACTCTCAGCCCTGCCCTCCCCTCCCCTAAGTACCCATTGGCACTTTGGAAGAATAAGAAACATTCCCAGTCCAGAGCACTGAGTAGCCAGATAGTCTCTGCTTTAGCGCTCCTCCAGCTCTGTGGCTGAGAGCCCCCTGCTGGCAGGCACGGGTTTCCATTCCCAGGAAGCTGCACCCTCCTTACCGTCCAGCAAGGCATAGCCGACGACTCTCCTTTCCCCAGCCAGCCTGACCCTGAGGCGGCTCCTCTTGAAGTCCCCCCACGAAAGGATGCCTCAGAGAGAGGCCCAGGGCCTCTGACCTGGCTGGTGAGACCTATCTCTATGGGACAATCATGGTGTCTGACGATGACTCCTTTCGAGTGACTGATGTGCTGCTCTTCTCTGTCTGACCATGACACGGCCTCTGCTTGGAAAGGCTCTCCTGAGACAGCATCGGGGCTCCACCTGGACAACTAGGTGGGACTCTGAATGCTGAGGGTGTGGGTTGCATTCAGAGGGTGTTGGGGTCAAGGATGGCCCCTCATGGCCAGAGAGGCAGCTCTAGTGTGCCCCACCATTATTAACCTCGGGTCCTGAATGTTTAGGGGCTCTCTGGGGTGACTAGGCAGGATTCAGGCCAGGTGGCTGAGAAACTGACCAGGACAGGATCTGCCGGGGCAGTTGGCGCTGAGGGTGCTGTGGGAGGACCCCTCTCCCCGAGCTGTCTTGCAGCCCTTTCAACCTCAGGTTCATGTTGGGGGGTCTAGAATGTAATTCTGGAGCTGAATGTAAAAACTTAACTGGTTACAGGCATGAAACAGCTGTCCTGGGTGGGAGTGGACTGGGGCAGAGGGATCGATGGCTTCTCTTCCTTAAATCGATTTACATTTAAATTATTAGTTTGGGTCGTATGAAATCGCCTATATTTGAGCATTTTTTAACGTATAATAATGACCATTTTCATATGATGCCACCCAATACATTGTTCAGCCTCCAAATGTCTTGTTCCTTTTAAAGTCCCGTTCCCTGATAATTAAGGGCCAATTAACTTTTAACTTCCTCCTAAAACTTGCCCTTCTTTCTGTATTTCCAGTTTGGGTAAGCGGCACATCCACCTGCTTAGTTACTCAGGTCAGACGCCCCAGTGTCATTCCTGACCCCGCCCAGACCCCCCTTCCCATAACTAAAAGTCCTGTCTAGTCTAGCTCCTAGGTATTTCTCGAATCATCCACTTCTTCACCCCGCCCCCGCCCTCGCGCACCTCAGTTCAAAGCTATCACCGTGTCTTGCCAGGATCCCTGCACTAACTTCATCTTCCTGCTTTCACACTCTCCTCACATCAATCCATTCTCCACACAGCCCCCAGAGCGAGCTTTCAAAAGTGCAAGTCTGATCATATCATTTCCCTTCTTAAAACTCTTCAGTGG